TGGGGGGTCCTGTGTGTAGTCATGGTGACGGCAGGTCAGTGGGGGGTCCTGTGTGTAGTCATGGTGACGGCAGGTCAGTGGGGGGGGTCCTGTGTGTAGTCATGGTGACGGCAGGTTAGTGGGGGGTCCTGTGTGTAGTCATGGTGACGGCAGGTCAGTGGGGGGTCCTGTGTGTAGTCATGGTGATGGCGGCTCAGTGGGGGTCCTGTGTGTAGTCATGGTGACGGCGGGTCAGTGGGGGGTCCTGTGCGTAGTCATGGCGACGGCGGGTCAGTGGGGGGTCCTGTGCGTAGTCATGGCGACGGCGGGTCAGTGGGGGGTCCTGTGCGTAGTCATGGCGACGGCGGGTCAGTGGGGGGTCCTGTGCGTAGTCAGGGCGACGGCGGGTCAGTGGGGGGGTCCTGAGTGTAGTCATGGGGACAGCAGGTCAGTGGGGGGGGGGTTCTGTGTGTAGTCATGGTGACAGCAGGTCAGTGGGGGGTCCTGAGTGTAGTCATGGGGACGGCAGGTCAGTGGGGGGGGGGGTCCTGTGTGTAGTCATGGTGACAGCAGGTTAGTGGGGGGTCCTGAGTGTAGTCATGGTGACGGCAGGTCAGTGGGGGGGGGTCCTGTGTGTAGTCATGGTGACGGCAGGTCAGTGGGGGGTCCTGTGTGTAGTCATGGTGACAGCAGGTTAGTGGGGGGTCCTGAGTGTAGTCATGGTGACGGCAGGTCAGTGGGGGGGGTCCTGTGTGTAGTCATGGTGACGGCAGGTCAGTGGGGGGTCCTGTGTGTAGTCATGGTGACGGCAGGTCAGTGGGGGGTCCTGTGTGTAGTCATGGTGACGGCAGGTCAGTGGGGGGGGTCCTGTGTGTAGTCATGGTGACGGCAGGTTAGTGGGGGGTCCTGTGTGTAGTCATGGTGACGGCAGGTCAGTGGGGGGTCCTGTGTGTAGTCATGGTGATGGCGGCTCAGTGGGGGGTCCTGTGTGTAGTCATGGTGACGGCGGGTCAGTGGGGGGTCCTGTGCGTAGTCATGGCGACGGCGGGTCAGTGGGGGGTCCTGTGCGTAGTCATGGCGACGGCGGGTCAGTGGGGGGTCCTGTGCGTAGTCATGGCGACGGCGGGTCAGTGGGGGGTCCTGTGCGTAGTCAGGGCGATGGCGGGGGTCAGTGGGGGGTCCTGTGCGTAGTCATGGCGACGGCGGGTCAGTGGGGGGTCCTGTGCGTAGTCATGGCGACGGCGGGTCAGTGGGGGGTCCTGTGCGTAGTCATGGCGACGGCGGGTCAGTGGGGGGTCCTGTGCGTAGTCATGGCGACGGCGGGTCAGTGGGGGGTCCTGTGCGTAGTCATGGCGACGGCGGGTCAGTGGGGGGTCCTGTGCGTAGTCATGGCGACGGCGGGTCAGTAGGGGGTCCTGTGCGTAGTCATGGCGACGGCGGGTCAGTGGGGGGTCCCTGTGCGTAGTCATGGCGACGGCGGGTCAGTGGGGGGTCTTGTGCGTAGTCATGGCGACGGCGGGTCAGTGGGGGGTCCTGTGCGTAGTCATGGCGACGGCGGGTCAGTGAGGGGTCCTGTGCGTAGTCATGGCGACGGCGGGTCAGTGGGGGGTCCTGTGCGTAGTCATGGTGACGCCAAGTAAGTGAGGGGTCCCTGTGCTTAGTCATGGTGACGGCAGGTCAGTGGGGGGTCCCTGTGTGTAGTCATGGTGGCGGCAATTCAGTGGGTGGTCCTGTGTGTAGTCATGGAGGCAGTGGTTCAGTGGGGGGTCCTGTGTAGTCATGGTGATGGCAGGTCAATAGGGGGTCCTGTGTGTAGTCATGGTGACGGCAAGTCAGTGGGGGGTCCTGTGTGTAGTCATGGTGGCAGTGGTACAGTGGAGGGGTCCTGCGTGTAGTCATGGTGGAAGCGATTCAGTGGGAGGTCCTGTGTATAGTCATGGAGACAGCAGGTCACTGGGAGGGTCCATTTGTGTAGTCATGGTGACAATAGGGATATCCTCTGAGATGACATAGCAGCACTCTGAGCCAATCAGGTGTGAGAGGAGGAGGAGGGAGTTTAGAGGTGGCTGGAGGCGGGGCAGTGACCAGATGTTTTGCTTAACTTTTAGCAGAGAAAAATCAGGTCACCAACCTGTCTGTGCTGTGTAGCAGAGCTGTGTAAATTTAGCACTAGCTGGACAATTATAAATCCTTTCATGTAATTGATGTGTCTGTGCCCGGAGTTTGTCTTTAACTACTGAACACGACTGAAAGCCTTTTAAATGTCTCCTGTGTGGAAGGCAGTGGGGTGCGGGTGGAAGGGCTTTACAGTTTCCTCTGATTACACAAACGTATGAATGCATGGAAGTGACTGCTGTGACGGACGGTCTGTCAATCCTGGGAGAACAAACCGAGCGCATTGTCCTACAGAGAGCGACTGTGTGGCGGCAGCCTCATACTCGTCGTTTTGTGGTATTAGTGTGAGGTCCAATTCCCTGTCAGAGAGGAAGTCGGACTGTGCAGGACGTGTCACAAAGGGATCAGTGTAGGAGATGTCGGGGGCTAGGATGTTTTGTAGGTATTATTGGAAATGCTGGAGAGTTTATGTCTGAAGATCGTGAAGCTGTTCGCTGCCAGTTTAAAATCTAAATTGCTATGTGGACTTCGAATAATGAATCAACACATTTTAACTGTTTGTTCAGCTCCCTGCTTGAGGATTGAGAGTTTTCTTGGAATTAATCAAATCTTTTTTTCAACTTTTCAGGTTCTAGTTTATGGCATCTTAATATCCATTTGACATAAAGAGGACCTCATGTCTTTTCTTGTAAGTTGCCCTCAATGTAGAAATGTATGATCTCCTTTGTAACATTTAGTTCCTAACTGATCCAAGAATTCTCGGGACACCTGGCGGTAAGTCCTACGGCCATATAGATAGCGGCTCTCCAGTGTCATCACATAAGAACTGCCACCAAAATCAGAGGCCAGAGATACCGGCAGATACAGGGAGGTTCAAACATGCAGGAATGTTTATTCATTTTGTTTGCTGTCTGTGTTCCCTTGGGGACATTTTATATCCCAAGATGACACAATGAGGGGGGGGGGGGGTCTCCAAAATGAGAAAAATCCCCTTTTAGACCAGAGGGGGGGAGTAGATGGTTTTCAACCCTGTGTAAGCTCCAAAAGCCTTTGCACTTACAAAGATACATAGGTTGAATAAAGACATCTAGTTCAAACAATAGAAAACTTCCATATACAATCCTGTACATACAGCTGACCCAGAAGATCACCTGATGTACTTTTTTGCTCTCCTGGCAAAACAAAGTAGAAGGAAAGTAGTTTTATGTAGTTACCATGGCTGACATTAAAGTTCATTTTATTTTATTCCCAAACAATTTAAAGCATTTGTAAAGGCTCAAGATTTTTTACCTTCATATATTTTATGCATGAAGGTAAAAAACCTGTGTGCAGAAGCCTCCCCTAATTCTCACCTAAGCCCCTTCTCAATTGAGCGATGTGCACTGGAGTCTCGGCTATCCCGGGACTACCTCATCCCATTGGCTGAGACAGAAGCTGGAGCTATTGGCTTCCACTGCCGTCAGTCACAGCCAGTGAGCTAATGAGAAGAGAGAGGGGGCAGGGCCAAGCCACTGCTCCCTGTGTGAATGGACACACGGAGCAGTGGGTGCCCCCATAGCAAGTTGCTTGCTGCGGGGGCACCCGACAGGAGGGAGGGGCCAGGAGAGCCAGCGGGGTCCAGAGAAGAAGATGATCCAGGATGCTCTGTGCAAAACCACTGCACACAGCAGGTAAATATAGACATGTCTGTTATTTTTTCTTAAAAAAAAAAACTTTTAGAATCACTTTAGGGCCTTTTTATCTGCATGTAGGTAAGAGCAAGACAGTGCTCATATCTACAGCAAAGTGAGCCAACGGTATTTTCGGAGTTGATTAATACCATCACTATGCTGTCATGCAAGGGGCATGTACACATGCTGCAGCGAGATGGGGTATGCCTCTGCCGCCTGTTATTGGCTGTCAGCTTTGACAGCTTCACAGCAGGATGGCTCAGGCTGGCTCGTGTCTGAACATGCCTGAGCTCATCACTGTTTAATAAAAAATGACTGTTTGTCCCTGGTACTCCATACAAAACGTGGTGTCACCAGGACAGGAAGGCACAGACAGCAAAGAATACTTTATTCCACACCAGGGGCGGACTGATAACTCATGGGGCCCCGGGCAATAGGGGATCATGGGGCCCCTGTGTCCTTTCCCAAACTCAAAAAGCCTATGAAAAAGGTACCAGGGGCATCTCATGGGGCCCCCTACTGACCCAGGCCCTCGGGCAGTGCCCGAGTTTCCAAATGGTCAGTCCGCCCCTGTTCCCCACTCTACGAAAAAAAAAAAGTGTTTCCTTTATCTTTCCACCTCTTAATCTCCTCAAGACACACAACCAAGCTTCTCCCCACTATATCCAAAATATATAAGTTTCAGAGACTTAGACTGGCCATACATTATACAATTTTCTTGAGAATTTTGCTTTAGATTTACCAAAAACCATATAATATGAGGTTAAACCTAACAACACTTTCAATTGTATCCAATTAGGCGGGTCCTTGCACTACATAGTTGAAGGTAAATCTAAAGGGAATTGGGCAGAAATTGAACAAAAAATTGTATAGTGCATGGCCAGCCTTAGGGGGTGATTTACTAAAACTGGCGTGTGCACAATCTGGTGCAGCTCTGCATAGAAACCAATCAGCTTCCAGGTTTAAGTGAACAAGCTGAAGTTAGATGCTGATTGGCTACCATGCAGAGCTGCACCAGATTTTGCACTCTCCAGTTTAGTAAATCTACCCCTAAGGCTTTAACGATACAAAATGATAACATTTCATGGTCACCTAACAAAAATGTATCTCTTATACCTGATCAAAATGAAGGAAATATAGCCAATATCACTGACCATCCCCGGATCTGGTGCACTGTCATTTCCTATCCTGTGTTATTTTGTAAACTTGTATCATTTTTTTTTTTTTTCCTTGTTTATTTTTTTCCTCCAGCGTTGGGTTTCTGACCGGATCCTGGTTGATGGCTTGAGGGAGCTGGAGTTTTTTGGAGGTCAGTTGTTTGAATCCTCATCCCCAGTGTTGGGAATTGAAACCCCTCCTCCCAGTATTTAAATTTTTACATCTGACAAAGTAGAGACTTCTCCTCTGTATGTTTCTTCAATCTTTCTGTTTCTTTCAGTGGCCTGCTTTGCATGTTTTGATTCAGTGGTTGGGTGTTTTCTTACAAGAGTAACTATTAAGGAAAAGTGGACCTATGCTGTAACCCCTTCTTCCACATCCTGTTCCTATATGCTAATAGATGGTAAAAAAGGTGTTAAGATGGTATATTTACAGGCCGATGTCCATTATTTAATGACATGTCACAATATATGGCAATGGTATCTATTTGTCATTTAAAAAGCAATTCTTAACCTCTTGTGCAGACTGCACGCAAATGTGCCGCCTCCCGGTGTCTGGGCCTTGATGCCGAGTGGCCGCACATTTGCATGCAATTAAGAAAAACATATGTGCTGAGAGCGTGCGCCCTGCGCGCTCCCAGCACATGTGTCCGGTACTCACAGTAAGGTCCCGATCTCCTCTTTCAATCGGGATCTTTCCCCGATCATGTGACGGCGAATCACGGCGGTCACATGACCCTAAAACACCGCCCCGCCTCCCGGCTTCTGAAACACTTAAAGGGCTGGGAGGCGCCTGTGCCAAGGGGTTAAAATGGACCTAGCGACAGTTGTAGGTAATAATGTTAAAGCAGAACTCTGGGCAAAAACTTCTTTACATGTCCTTGTTGCTGATTTCCTACCTTCACATAATATGTCATTCATCTTCTGGTTCACTCAGTAGTTGCTCTGAATTAGCCTATTCATTTTCAAACCAAACCATTAATTCTCTTTGGTTTCCTGTTTGTAAGACCGGTGGCTGCTATGCCTCCTATTCCCCCAGTCACTGGTATTGGCACATCCCTTCTGTAGTTCCTACTCCAGGAAGCTGTGATGTAATTCAGCCCCACTTGCAGTGGTGGGCGGACTGAGACTTGTAGACACATTCAACATGTACAGGCCTAGTGTACCCCCCACATTCACTACAATTCCCTGTGGTTGATGGGAACTGTAGTTTCCTTTTACTGCAGAGAGAAAGGAGAGGATATGATGTAATCCTGACTGTTACACCCTCCTCCTTTGCAGAGCAGATGCTGTTATCTGTTGATTACAGTGATAAGGTCATGAAAATTCAATAACACTTTTCTCCTAAATGGTAAGGATTTTCAGAATTTTATGAACTGTTTTGTGTAGAGGGGTGTACCAATGGGTGTTTTTTGTTTTTTTGTGTTTTTTTTTTTTTTCTTTCTCCGAGTTCTTCTTTAAGTGAATACATACTAAATAATGTGTAAAAACAGCACTTTGAGTAGTGTTCTTGACAACTGGCCTGATTTACCTAAGGACGTAAGTAAGTATATTTATTCAATAAATTTAAAATTCATTTAAGTTTACTAACCTTGTGCAAAGCAAATTCCTCTCCTTTTTCATCTGCACATGATTGAGTATTCAAAATGAACAGGAATTTGATTTCACATGCTTGGATACTTGAAGTGAATCTTCACTATTTATTGAGTGAAGGTTGTCACCTCCTTTAGTAAATCAGCTCTGGTGTTTTCTGCTTTCCTCTCTAGTAGGATGGTGCCATCTACTGTATGTCCTGACATCATCTAGGGTTAAGATCTACATCTTGGACTGAGATGCCAGCTCAGAAATTACAGTTATGATTTATTTTTATATATATAAATATATATATTTGGCCATGTTCATAAATGTCATCCCCTGCTGTAGCCTCTCACCTTGTGATTTGCTACAAAGTACAGTCTAATCACTTGGGGGGGGTTGGTGGGAAGAGACTGAGGAAGTTCTTCCTCCTGCTTGCAGCAGACCAATGACACCATCTGAGCCCAGGCAAGACCACTGGCTTGGAACTCATGAACTGCTATTGATATTTACATGATTGTGGGATCTTTGGATCCTCTGTAGAAGACCAGCACCGGAAATGGTGTTGGTCTTCTACAGAAAAGGAAAGATGAATGTGGGCGGATTGCTGCGGTTACACATACCCGCATTACACTTACACTCTACTTGGCATGCCTTCACTAAACGTGGAAAATTGCATCTGGTTCACTTTAAATACTTACCTTTCCTAAAGTAATTGTTTCTCCATCTCTCTATTGCTGGCCATTGATCATGTGACTTACGCTTAGACTGAAGTTTAAGCTGAGCCGGCCATGGAGCCTCTCAGTCTGTACCATTATCTTCCCCTGTAACAGAGATCACATGGCCAAAATCCCAAAACATTGATTTCTTTAGGAAAGGTAAGTAGATGTGCCAATCTTTTACTTTGTATTAGTTTTATAGGGCAGGATGGTCAGGACAAAATGGGGGTGTTTTTATAGTTTTGGTCCACTTTAATGAGGGGCTAGTGCTTGCATTTTATGTTCTATCTATATGCTTGTTATAAGCTGAGCCAATCCTCCTCTCCCTTCCTCTAGACTCGCATTTAGGGGACTCACGAAAGAAAGTAAGTGGGAATGCCTGTCAGTGCAGCATGTGTTTGTATTACAGCATGGGGGCATCTGAATATGGGTCAGGCTCATCTTCAGCAGCCTGGTCTTGCAGAGCATACTTAGATTACAGGTCATTATTGTCCAACGCCATCTTTGAAATCTGGAGTCTTCCTACAGCTGTGGGTTTCCTTTGATTTACGCCCGTGTATGTGCAGGGTCATGCTGGAAGCTGATGCCAGGTGAGGTAAGGTGGCCGTGTTTACAAACTGAAGTTGTAACCAGAGTAGTAGGTAACCAGAGTAGTAGAATGGATCATAGTACAAGTATTGAAGACCAGTATCACAGGAACGTGTGGGATTATTCTGCTGAGTGTGACACAGTTTGCTGAGCAGAATTTGAATTTTCTGCATGCTGAGGTCACAGACATTTCAGCTTACCTGTTCCCCAGCACTACAGGGAGCTTTGGCACCTGCTCTAAATACCCATTTCTGTCAGGACTGGCCATTACATAGTGACATAGCTAGTCTGGTTGGAAATAGACAAAAGTTCAACCATAAAAAAAAAAAGTTATAATCCTATACCAACAGTTGATCCAGAGGAAGGAAAAACAAAACCCAGCAAAGCATGATCCAATTTGCTCCTGCAGGGGAAAAAATTCCTTCCTGATCCCCCAAACTGATAAAGAAGTGGTGGCCTGCAGCCAAGTAGAAGATGTTTTCTCTGGTCCAGGCTCCCTGTATAAAGGCATCTGGATTGTCTAAAGCAAAATCATGACTTCCATGCATCCATCACAAGAGAATTTGGACAGAGGCAGAATATATACTTTAAAAAAACCTGACATTGATCACAGTGCTAGGAGTGAAGCGGGAGCATGACAGCAACTAGGCCGTATTCTGCTAAATTGGCTGTGTTTGTACAGAAAGAGAGATGCTCAGACGTAACAGGCTGCATATGAAAAGATTCTTCAGAAGTGTACAGGAATTCCCCTTTCTGATTCACCTCTCATCTTAATAGATCAGGCTGTGGGGATGAGTCTGTGATCCATATTGGAGCTGCCTGCATTGTATGTGACACCTTTCATTCCATTTTCATGGACATTTTCAGCATATCTGATTTCCCAAGTACGTAACGCGCTGCCTGTGTAATGCTCACCCACTTTTTATAAAAGGAGGGCGCTTTGTTCCTGTCTGTCTTGCTCCTGTATACAGTCTATTGTCTGATTTTCAAGCAACGTGAAATGCTAAAGATCTCTCCCTGTTAATGTCATTTATTTTGAGTCGTTTCATGACATGGGTGTAAACTGTCTCTTGACAGCTATTTTCATGTGCGTTTAATAAATGTTTATTTTTTTTTTTTTGTTTGTTTGGACCGGCTCTGTCCATTGATCTTTGGCTGCTTGAAATAATTAAATACAGTTGCATGGATAGTCAATCTGTGCATTGTTGAAATGACTATCAAGGGACAATTTGCTCCCAGCTGAATATGCAGCTTACCTGAAAATGAACAAAAAAGGTTTGGCTGTGTATTAAAGTATGCCTTAGGGAAAATAAAAATCCCAAACTAATGGTTGTGCCAAGTAGCTAACAGCGTAAAGCTTTCAGCACATACCTCTTTCCTAACATTTGTTACTCCAGCCTGCCTGGAGCACTTTCTGAAGGCAGGCCATAGACGGGCATTTATCAGCCGAATTTTCGGCCGATAAATGAAAAATCGTTCGTTGCTGGCACCAATGCTGCCACCAATGTCGGCCGTTTTTCGTGGATTTTCCAGCATGACCAATAAAAATAAACAAGAAGATCCCCAAAAAATGGCTAACGGTATTGCCCCACTAATGCAGACCATAGACGGGTCGAAAATCGGCCGAAAATAAAATCGGCCGATTTTCGGATCGTTAGTGGGCTAATTGTTCGGCCGTTTTTTCGGTATTTTGGCAGATTTTTTTTATCGGTAAAGTTGGAAAAAATCGTCCGATTTGCCGATCGGCCGATTTTCGCGGCAATGATGGGCAAATCGGCCGATCTTTTTACCGATAAAAAATCTGCGCAGGAGCCGTGACCTGCTAGAGGAAGAAAAAAAGAAGAAGAGGATGAAGAAGAGAGATGAAGAAGAAGAGGATGAAGAAGAAGAAGAAGAGAGGATGAAGAAGAAGAGGAATTCCAGTCCGGCAAAAAGTGTCCCTGCAGAGAGCTCCGCTATTTCTTTGACAGTTCCTTGACATTTATAGCGGTTGCAACAATGTATCTATTTTTTTCCGAATAAAAACATCTGTATCTGAAATGGATACAAATACATTGTTGCAACCGCTATAAATGTCAAGGAACTGTCAAAGAAATAGCGGAGCCCTCTGCAGGGACACTTTTTGTCGGCTGTAGACGGGATGAAAATTGGTTTTTTTTTTTTTTTTTTTTTTTTTTTTTTTTTTTTTTTTTTTTACCGTTGCTGGTAACGTCGGCCGCTTGAACGACCGAATTTTCGTTTTTTTAAAAGAAAAATCGGCCGATTTTCGACCCATCTATGGCCTGCATAACGGCGTGAATATCGGCTGATTTTTGATGCGGATGAAAATTCGGCCGATAAACGACCCGTCTATGGCCTGCAGAAGTGTGACATTCTGAGGCTCTGTATTTACAATGGGCATGCCTCCCATTTGACAGTACCTGGGCCCTCTGATTGGTTACTTAGACCATAGGCATTGCCTTGTGGGATGGGGATGATGGGCATACCCCTTACTATCAGGAGACAGAAACTGCACATGGGGCGCTTCAGGCAGTGAAAGCTAAAACAACAGATCTGTACTGACAGCTAGTGCTACCTGGCCTTGCTGTTGGTTTAGTATTTTATCTTCTTACAGGTTTGCTTCACGTTTGAGTTGGGTCTTTGCATGAGTGGCTGCATTCTCCCTGCCAACTTGTCTCCAGGGCTGGTGTTGGTAAAGAGTACTCCTTAACCATTTCCATATCGGGAACTTTTACCCCCTTCCTGCCCAGGCCATTTTTCAGGTTTCAGCGATCTCACACTTTGAATGACAATTGCGCGGTCATACAACATTGTACCCAAACTAAAATTTTATCATTTTCTTCACACATCTAGAGCTTTCTTTTGGTGGTATTTAATCACCGCTGGGGTTTTTATTTTTTGATAAATTAACAAAAAAAAGACAGAAAATTTTGAAAAAAAAACAAAGTTTTTCTTTGTTTCTGTTATAAAAGTTTACAAATAAATAATTGTTCTTCATAAATTTAGGCCGAGATGTATTCTGCTACATGTCTTTGGTGAAAATAACCCAAATTAGGATGTATTTTTTAGTCTGTAGGAAAGTTATAGAGTTCACAAACTATGGTATAGATCTGAAAATTGATCAATCCTGAAGTACTGACGGCCAATCTAATTCTTGAGGTCCAAGAATGTCAGAATAGTACAGATATCCCCTAAATGACCCCTTTTTGCAGAGTAGACAGTCCGACGTACTTCATAAGAGGCATGGCGAGTTTTTTGAAGTTGTATTTTTTTTGTCATTTTTCGGAAAATTAAAAAATGTAAAAAATGATTTTCACAATTTTTTTTTTTTACATCCTGTCACCAGTGCAGTACAGCGTCTTCATATAACTGGCATGGTGGTGATCAGGGACACTGACTGGTGGCGTCCACCCGGAACGCTGAGGGATTTTGCCGGCCGCCATTCGGCCAATCGCCGGGCGGCAAAAGTTAACTATGATAAATGCTCATCACATCTTTTCCATTCCAGGGTGTGTATTCCCCAAGAACCCATTCCTAATTATCAAAAAAGATTGTAAGGGCCTCATGTGAGAGGAAAACTGTTATAGGAGAATATGGAGGCTGCATTTGCTGATTTCTCTGATCTGAAAATGCGATTTGCCTGGCAGTTATGCTGATCTCTTATTTATGATTATTATTATTATACAGGATTTATATAGCGGCAACAGTTTGCTCAGCGCTTTACAATATAACGGAAGACAATACAGCAACAATACAGTTCAATACAAGAGGGATAGGAGGGTCTGATCCTGGGAGCTTACAATCTAGTCTTACTTCAGTACTTTAAGTGACTGACCCAGAACAAGTATGTACAGAGCTGTGTGTAGCTCTTAATCTGTAAGTGACCATAGGAAGGGTATAGAACACTTGACCATTGGAGGAGTTTCTTATCCCCCATACTGGTTTACTAATGTGGCATGCTCCCATTGTTCCATGTGAGTTGTATGGGGGTGTCAGGGTTTCAGTAAGCAGTGGTGCTTTGGGACAACAGACAGATCTCTTACAATCATGCGTCTCCTGGTGACCCATCTACACGTCTAACCACTTACAGCATAGGCATCATATATATCAAAACAAAAATCCCTGCCTGATCCTACCAGGAATGTCATTTACTAACCTAAGCAAGGCAGGGGAGCCCTTCACAAAATGTAATACCCTACAAACATACCAAAAATGGATATGGGCTCTACCTTACTACTGCTTTTCAAAAGTGATATGTAAATATCTCAAAAGACGCATAAAATATACTTCTTGGTAGCACTCAATGAGGGCGTTGGTGAGCACTCTGGTAGTTCATTGATTCTTCCTGCTCTCAAGTATGAGGTACAGGCAGACAACAATATTAATAGACTTTACTTTACATAGTACCTTTTTAAAAGTAGCTTCTGAAAACGCTTTACATAGACAAGAGAAAAAAACAAAAGAAATACACAGGATAAAACAAAGGAAAAACGGGACAATGACAAAAGAGTTTTTAGATTTGATTTGAATGAGTTTAGAGAAGATGACTCTGATGAGTTTTGGGGCATAGCAGGAGAAGGCTCAGTCTCCTATTGAGCTGTCCTGACAGTCTGCAGGAGCCTAGCATTGCACTTGCGATCTGCTGATCATGGGTGCAATGGTCTGCAGGCTCCTTGGGGAAAAAAAATAAATGCACTTTTTTTTTACCTTATCCTTTTAATTTTGTCAAGATACACTGAGTTTGCTCTCTCCATGTTTGTGCATGTTCATCCACCCACATTGGCACCACAGTTTGTGCTGTGTATGTTTATCTGTGGGTGAGACATACAGTGTTAGGCTTTCAGCCCCACATATGTTCGTAAAATAAATGCTAAGGATCCAGCAAAAAGTTAAAGTGGAATTTCATTCAAACAGCTAAATACAGAATTTAAATAAATGTGATTTACACCTTTACGTGTGTGTGTAATATAGGCACTTGTTCAAGTTTAACCAATAAATGGGGATACCAGTCAAAGAATGTGAAAGTTATGAACATATTTTTGTAACATCCTTATTTTTTTATATCTGTAAAACCTCACGAGTTCCAACCTTTCCCCATTCTATCCAAAAAACCCCCAAAAAAGCTTTTGTTTGTTTTTGTTTTTTTGGTATGGCTACCCATATTTATTACTGCTCTGTGGGTCAGCTCTTGGTCATTGGGCAGAATTGATGCTGCTGGATTGCACAGTGAGGAGACTGAGGGCCGGAGGTGGCACAGGAAGCTGCATTGCTGAACCAGGAAAAATTGTAAATCACAAGGATGTTTTTACAAAAAACTTAAAACTAGAAGTGTGTGTTTGTGTGACTGCCTTTGTACACTTGGTTGTACTTTGGTTTGTAGCTACTAATTCTGACCATTAAAAATCTAATTGTCATCTACTTCAGGGGTCTCCAAACAAAGGGCCAGTCTTTTAGACTTTATGGAGGCCGAACTGTGGCCAGTAAGATTAGAAAATACTCTGATGCTCTGGAATCACTGAAAGTAAACCATGCCTCATGCTTGGTGGTCAGTGGGAGTGAACAAAATCATAATGCCTGCAGACAGTAGGAGGAAAAATAGCACCCCATCATTGGTATCAGTGGGAGGAATAGTGCCCCATCATTGGTATCAGTGGGAGGAATAGTGCCCCATCATTGGTATTAGTGAGAGAGGAATAGTGCCCCATCATTGGTAGCAGTGGGAGGAATAGTTCCCCATCATTGGTATCAGTGGGAGGAATAGTGCCCCATCATTGGTATCAGTGGGAGGAATAGTGCCCCATCATTGGTATCAGTGGGAGGAATAGTGCCCCATCATTGGTATCAGTGGGAGGAATAGTGCCCCATCATTGGTGTCAGTGGGAGGAATAGTGCCCCATCATTGGTATCAGTGGGAGGAATAGTGCCCCATCATTGGTATCAGTGGGAGGATAGTGCCCCATCATTGGTATCAGTGGGAGGAATAGTGCCCCATCATTGGTATCAGTGGGAGGAATAGTGCCCCATCATTGGTATCAGTGGGAGGAATAGTGCCCCATCATTGGTATCAGTGGGAGGAATAGTGCCCCATCATTGGTATCAGTGGGAGGGATAGTGCCCCATCATTGGTATCAGTGGGTGGAATAGTGCCCCACCATTGGTATCAGTGGGAGGAATAGTGCCCCATCATTGGTATCAGTGGGAGGAATAGTGCCCCATCATTGGTATCAGTGGGAGGAATAGTGCCCCATCATTGGTATCAGTGGAGGAATAGTTCCCCATCATTGGTATCAGTGGGAGGAATAGTTCCCCATCATTGGTATCAGTGGGAGGAATAGTTCCCCATCATTGGTATCAGTGGGAGGAATAGTGCCCCATCATTGGTATCAGTGGGAGGAATAGTGCCCCATCATTGGTATCAGTGGGAGGAATAGTGCCCCATCATTGGTATCAGTGGGGGGAATAGTGCCCCATCATTGGTATCAGTGGGAGGAATAGTGCCCCATCATTGGTATCAGTGGGGGAATAGTGCCCCATCATTGGTATCAGTGGGAGGAATAGTGCCCCATCATTGGTATCAGTGGGAGGAATAGTACACCATCATTGGTATCAGTGGGTGGAATAGTGCCCCACCATTGGTATCAGTGGGAGGAATAGTGCCCCACCATTGGTATCAGTGGAGGAATAGTTCCCCATCATTGGTATCAGTGGGAGGAATAGTGTCCCATCATTGGTATCAATGGGAGGAATAGTGTCCCATCATTGGTATTAGTGGGAGGAATAGTACACCATCATTGGTATTAGTGGGAGGGATAGTGCCCCATTATTGGTGTCAGTGGGATGAATGGTGCCACATCGTTGCTGTCATTGGGAAGAATAGTGTCCCTTGGGCAAGCAAAGGGCCACAGTTCGGAGACCACTGATCTACATAACTCCAGTATAACTGTTACATGTAATAAATATCATTGCATCTCAAATATTGTGGCGAGTCCTAGATTGTGATGTATACCATCAATATTTCTGTATTGTGATTTTTCATATTTCTACTAATGTAAAGTCAGTGGGTGTATTCATCAAGACGGGTGCAGTGTGCTTCCTATCCAGTGCAGGTAGCAGCTGAGCTTTATTTGTCTTCAGCACATGACCAGTGTCACTACTGTAAAATGTCAACACCGCATGGAGGAGGTCCTTTAACCTAGAAATGGAATTTTGCTATTCAGATTGCCCCTCTGAGCTATTGTGTACTGTACTCTGCACTCGTTTTTATAAATGACCCTCTTTCTTTTAAGTGAGATATTTTAATCTGACCAAGTCACTTTGTTTCCACTTCTTGTCTTTGTCAACCGTGGTGTTCTGTCCTGCAGCCTGATGAAGCAGCCAGCGCGGAGTCCATAGCGTCCTGCCGCAGTCCGGACACCATGGGTGTATACGCTCCGGATAATAGTTGTTACGAGCTCCTCACTATCATAGGTAAACTGATATTTTCTGTGCTAGTTGGGCAGAAATTTGGTTTTATTGCTATGTATCACTAGCCTGGGACAGGTATATAGTAGCCAAGCATTTACCAGTTATAGTAACATGGAAATAGCTTGCCTGCTAACCTATTCCTCTAATGATCTCTGCATAGATTTTGTACAGCAGATAGTCCTGCTCTGCAAATATACCCAAACTCCTTGTTCCCGAGCCCAAAAACAAGGCTGGGAGGACTCAGATTTTTAAATTTACTGATCTAAAATCCAAAGGGAAGCCTGTAGCTAAATATATGTCCTGCTGAATATTTAGAAATGTTAAAAATGTAAAAATTTTAAAAACTAAAAAATGGAAGTTAATATTTAATGGCACTTTAAATAGTCATTTTTGGCCAAGTTTGCCCAAACTTTCTATTCCCATTACAGAACGATGTGTCTGCTGGGTGTGATGTGATGGACTGTAGTAGCAATAGCTACATACAGTAAGTGCCGCTGTGTATGGGCGACTTCTTGTCTGCTGCTAGATATAAAGAGAGGCTGAGTGCTTCTCCACCATTCAGGAGAAGCCTTCTATTTATTTCAACTTGTTCTGATTGGCAGTGGTGCTGAAAGGGGCAGATGATGTCACAACCTCCATCTCGGCCTATCAGATGAAGCCTTGTATTCAATGATAAAAATACAAGGCAGAAGTCGTTCGGAGTTTACAAAGTGATTTTGTACCATTTAGAATCCTATGGTCCGCTGATATTTTCACTTCCTCAGGGAGAGGGTTTGAAGACCTGATGACGGTAAACTTGGCACGATACAAACCGTCGGGAGAGTATGTTTGTATCAGAAGAGTTAACTTGGAGTCTTGCACCAATGATATGGTGGCCTTCCTGCAGGTAATCTTTGCTCCATTTTGCATCATTTATTCAGCTGTATTTTCTTCTTTGTAACCTCCGATGTTTGTTGCATACCCCCTGATGAATGACCGTTTCAAATCTCCTGAAATGTTTGTACATTTATTTGTCCCTACCCTTGAAATGTGCATACTAATTAATATATAATGATTCCTAACTTTATAAATGTACCTTTATAAAAAGACCATAATTAGCACCTTTTGCCTACTGTACCTAACTTGTGTCATCCCTCTTGGTGTCACTCAATGCCTCTTGTGCTGACTATATCTTTGACAGCAGTCAGGCTTTGCAATCACAGTGCATATATTTGTGCGGGGGGCATGGTGTCGCTGATAAAAAAGTCGGCAGTTTCCGGTGCCAATTGATGGACAACTGGAGCATTGATAGTCAAATATGGTGCTATGAATTTATCGCAGTACAGGTGTTATATGGCTGTTTATGTTGATGGGGTAATTCTAGGATAAACTTCCTCTTAAAAAAAAAAAAAAAAAAAAAAAAAAAAAATGCTTACTTTTGAGCACAGGCTTAAAGAAATCTTGTGATGGAACTTCAATCCACTACACCTGTTCAGCAGTGATTGATGTGATCCAGCATTTTGAGTTCAATGTTGAAATTGTTGTTTCCCTTTGTTGTTTACAGCATTTTGAGTTCAGTGTTGAAATTGTTGTTTCCCTCATGTGGCAACATAATAGTGCCTCCTATGCTGTAGAGCAGGTACCCCCAAGTGACTGTAGTCCTGGGTGTACCAGCTGTAGCCCACCTAGAAGGTACAAAAACTTGGATGCTTTGATGTGCAAATCATTTCATATTGTTACCTGCTCTTCTCACCTATTCTGCCTCCTGCTTTCCTCTATTACCTAGTGGTTAGCGAGGTTTCCCATTGCAATGAAGAGCCAATAGTGAGGTGTGGAAGGGAATGGGTAGAGCTGACAAGCAAGGACCTGCTTGCATATTTTAAAAATCCCAATTTTCGCAGCTCTTTGGCACTCTGCAGAGCATCCAGCTAGCTGTTCAAGAACCCGCTGTAAGGCATAAGTGGCAGTTTTTGAAGTATTATGTTGTCAGAGATTTGCCATTCACGTCCTGAAAAATTGTGCAGTTATCCATTTCCCATCTGCACTCGAGCAAATGTTATATTATATATAGGTTAGTAGATGATGTTGCATGGTTACCAAGATTTCTAGGTGTCGATACTGACCACGTGGTCTTGTCTGCAGACGGAACTTCATGTGTCAAAGCTGTTCAACCACCCCAACATCCTCCCTTACAGAGCCACTTTCATAGCCAACAATGAGCTTTGGGTGGTCACCCCTTTCATGGCTTATGGTGAGTAGATACTGGAAAGAATTGAATTGTAATTTTGGTAAAGTAGCGTTTAGAGCTCTGTTGATGCAGCTGACAGTTGTTTAAGGGAATGTTCCTTCACTTTAAAGACATTTTCTTTAGTTCCTGCTTGTGTGTCTGGGACAGGAAGCAAAATCTCCCCTACAGGACACAGTCTTTAGATAGTTTTTTACCTAGTTTCATTAAATTTTAAAGGCAAATTTGTCTTTATTATTTTGCATAAATTTAACAGACAGAGCATGAGCCGTATAAAGAACATGTACAAGTAAGTAAACAGAAAAACATCACAGATGTGGTTATGATCCATGTGGATGTAATAAAACTGCAAGAGGGAAGGATCAATAACCCATATTACGGAGGTATAACATAATAAAGTATCAGGGGCTATCTCCAGGAGAGATGTATGGAACAATATGGGAGAACTCCATACAACCAAAATGTAAACATAAACTAAGAAAGAGAAGGGAGAAAGAAGAAGAAAAAAAAAGGAAAGAAAAAAGCCAGCGGAGAGGATATCGAAAGAGGAGAAGAGAGGGGATTGGGAGATGGGACGGCAGAAAGCAACAGTATGGTGGCTCCCCGTCTGAATTTCATAAAATTTTAAAGGTCACCACTAAAGTATGTTAGTTTTGTGTTTTCTCATCAGTGGAGCAGTACCTGATTCCAGCATATGTTTGATTAGGGGACTGAACCATGTGTGCCCTTTTGGCATGGCTTACATAATGAAGCAAGCTTGATAGACTGTAGATGCTTATTCTCTCTCCTGACAGGGTCAGCCAAAGACCTGATATGCACACACTTCACAGATGGAATGAGTGAGCTGGCAATCGCTTACATCCTGCTCGGAGTGTTGAAAGCCTTGGATTACATCCACCACATGGGTTACGTTCACAGGTAAGACAGGGCAGGAGTCAAATGTTGGCAACTTTATTACTGAAAGGGAAAATATAGGTCATGCGGCAGCAAAGTAAATGGCCACCTGATTATATTTTCTTTTTATGCGGTAGTAAAGTTAGGAAAAAAAAAAAAGATTTCCTCCTGAAAGGTAAAGGCATAATGTGCCAGTATGCATTGCATACTAGCACATTATGAAAGACTTACCTTGAAACGAAGCCCTCCAGCGGAACACTGTCACCACTGCTGAGGCTTCCACCTTCAACTGGTCTTCCAGGTTCACGGGCTATGGCCAACTGAATGGTTGAGCCGCGATGAAGTCACGTGGGTGTAATGTAACGCATAAGGGGCTTGGCTCTGGGCAGACATGAATAGATAGAAATGTGTGACCTCCATCATCCTTAAAGGGACTGATCCCTGGCTCTGGTTTGACAATCTATTGAAAGCTCAAAGGTGTCTGATTACTATCACATGGTTGTGGATTAAAAAAGTGAAGGATCGTTTTGTCTATCTGATATTATAAAGCGCATTTCCATGTGCTCTGAGGTGAGCACATTTATTCAGTTATGTCACTTTTTTTGTAGCTATTAATATAGCAGTCCTACATCACTTCTGGGGTGGACTGACCATTTGGAAACTCGGGCACTGCCTGGGGGCCCAGGGTCAGTAGGGGGCCCCATGAGATGCCCCCTGGTACCTTTTTCATAGGCTTTTTTGAGTTTGTGCAAGGACACAGGGGCCCCATGTGTTGTCAGTCCGCCCCTGCATCACTTATTTATTTTTAATATGCTCTACTATTGTGGAAACACAATTTGATGTTGGAAGCAGCCACTATCATCACAACTTATTTTATTTTCTGCTTGTGTGTTTTTTTTTTGTTATTTGGGGGGTTTTTTGGTGTTTTTTTTTTTTTTCTCTCATTATTGAGGTAGCGCAGGGGTTTCCCTCCTAAGTGCTTCTTATCTCCCTGCTCTAAGATACATCTTAAATGCCCCGAACAGGAAAAGTACTTACTTTACATACATTGAAAAGACTGTTTACATTAGGCTGATTTTTTTCACAGAGATTAGAAAGAATATATCCAGTCTTTGTAGGGGTAAACATAGGCTTGCACCTTCCAAGTCCGTTCTCATGTTTCTGCCTTGAAAGGTTGCCTTAATACCCACTGCATCTCTGTTCTTGTCCCATCTTTGAATGTTCCCAGCCCACCTTGAACAGGGGAGCAGCCTTTTGTGATGGGGATCCCATGAAGAATTCTATACTGCATGCCAGTGTCATTTGTAATTTGTAATGTGCTTTACTTTGTAAACTTTATAAACAGCCTTTAGATTGGGATGGGTGTCCCACTACTTTGTCCCAATGTAAATGATCTTCACAGAAGTCAGTTCTTCAGAATGAAGTGTAAGCCCATTAGTATCTTCTCCTAGAATCTAGCCAGTGAATAATTCTCTCTCTACAGGAGTGTGAAGGCCAGTCATATCCTCATCTCTGTGGACGGGAAGGTGTACCTCTCTGGCCTGCGCAGTATTCTGAGCATGATAAACCACGGACAGAGACTGAAAGTGGTCCATGACTTCCCCAAGCACAGTTCCCGGGTTCTTCCCTGGTTGAGTCCAGAGCTCTTACAGCAGGTGAGAGGAGTATACAAGGCAAACATTAGAATTTGAAATGTACGTCTAACGCTCTGTAAAATACAGTTTATTATTGCCATTGGCTTTTCATATTTGTTTTCCTTTTGTTCTTTAAAGCAAGGATGCTCAACCAAAGGCCACATGTGGCCTGTGGGGCCTTCTGATGTGGTCCGCGCCCTCAAATCAAGGACACACATGCCCATGCTCTGGGATGGAGGGTCAATAAGTCCAGATCACAATCAGTGGGTTGCCGACCCACCATCCCCTAGTATTAGAGTGCATGGAGCCAGCAACGAAGGAAGCAGGCAGCCGCTGGAGGGAGCAGCATAAGCTGATGCTTTCTCTGTAGCGCCAGCTCCTGTCCCAGGCGGAATGATACCAAGTGCCCTTCCTGTGGGACCTTTCTAGCAGCCTGGAGGGTGATGCCAGCAGAAGCTGGAAGAGGGAAAGGTCAGTGTATTACACATCACATACACTGCACTTTTGCAATGGGCATATTGGCACCTTATAAAAAAAAAAAAAAAAAAAAAAGGTTGTTAGGCTGCTGTCACACTGATCTGCAGGTGCAGCGCAGGCTGCATGAGAGTAAACCAGTCACTTTGCCCTACATTAACAAAGCACAGGTTCACTTAAATGTACATTTTTAAATGAGGCTCAGTCTATCTTTTATTATACAGTCTATATGGTACCTTTTTCAGGGCTAAGTGCTTCTTGACAGCTGGTATTGCTATCTTTTTTTTTTTTTTTTTGCCCCTGCAGAACCTTCAGGGGTATGATGCCAAATCTGACATCTATAGTGTGGGGATTACAGCGTGTGAGCTTGCTAATGGACACGTGCCATTCAAAGACATGCCAGCTACACAGGTAAGCACAATGGTACCATCTTCTTTGTTTTTGAAAGCATTTAAAGAAGAAACTATCTATCTTGATAGCGTTTTGCTTTTGCGAATTCCAGAAAACATGGTAGCAATTGTTCATGGTGCACTTAGATTACATTAGGCACAGAGTCTTCCCTACATCCTTATTTTATAGAGGATGTATTCATGGCCGGTATTGCTGCTGTTTACTCACGAGAAGCCCATATTCACACAAATAGATATTATGTACGTTTATCCTTGAACTCTTCTTTCTTCTAGTGGGCTCTAGTGAAGAAGAGAGCAGAGAAGAGATGCAACCATGTGCAGCACTGATCTCTTCTCCCCTCTCTTCCCCTTCACACAGGGAAGGGGGAGAACAGGGAAACTGAAAAGGTTTAAGGTTTAGTATCAATTTAGGGATTAGAACTTCTGTCAGGTTTTTATTGCCATCTGTATCTCAGTTAATTTGATTCCTTCCAAGAACTTCTCATATTCTGGCAGGCAGGGTGTCATCAGGATGGACAGTTATGCAGACCATAGACGGGGAGAAAACCGGCCGATTTTTCGGACGAAAAAAAAAATCGGCCGATTTTCAGATCGCTAGTGGGGTAATCAGTCGGCTGTTTTTTCATGATTTTTACACTTTTTTTCTTTATGATGGACAAATCGGCCGATCTTTTTACCAATTTTAAAAAATGCGCATGAGCAGTGACCAGCAAGAAGAAACAGAATATAAAGAAGAAACAGAATATAAAGAAGAAATAGAAGAAGAAGAAGAAGAAAAAGAATTTCAGTCCGATATTATATTTGACATTTAAAAGTATAGCAACATTGTATCTATTTGTATCCAAATAGAAACATCTGTATCCGAAATGGATACAAATAGATACAATGTTGCAACTTTTTCTTCTTATTCATATTCTATTTCTTCTTTTTCTGCTTCTTATTCATATTTTTTTCTTTATATTCTATTTTTTTCTGTCAAATATAATAGCGGAGCTCTCTGCAGGGACACCGCTATTATATTTGCTGGCCGTAGACGGGAGGAAAATCAGCCGACTTTTTTTTTTTTTTTTTACCAACGTCGGCCGCCTGAACGACCAATTTTTTGTTTTTCTAAAAAAAAAAAAAAAAAAAAACGCCAGTTTTCTCCCCATCTATGGCCTGCATTAGGGCCTGTCTCCCTAATTAGAGAGCTGGAAGGAAAGCCTGACAGATTTTTAACCCTTTCTCAACTTTGCTAGCAAAAAAAAAAATCGATTTCATAGTGTGGTCTTTCCATTAAAGAGAATTCCCACTCATTTCCTGTTGAATTGACTCTTCTCACATTCAGACACATCGGATTTCATCCTGACAGGCAGTAATGATCCCCAATGTGAACACAGACAGAAGTGAATTTCTGTTAGAGGTGTTAACACCCTGCTAGAAAAATAGACATTTTACAATATAAAACAAGCTGTTTCACATTAGAAGTTAAAAATAAGTATATTTATTAATACAAAATTTTTAAATCTGTTACACATTTAGGCTAAGCTCGACATTTGTAAAAAAAATAAAAATAAAAATAAATAATAAATGCATTTTGCATGTAAAGTAGTGCATTTATCATTTTTTTTTCTCTACACTGCAGCCTGCAATGCATTAGCTATCAGTGGATCGCAGGTGCAATGTCAGGCTTCTGCAGACACTCAGTACAGCTCTTTGTACATACCTCAATCAATAAACTATGGGAGCGCTCATCGGCACCCTCACAATTTATTGAGAACTACAAACCATCTGCCGTGGCAGGCAAGACTTGTAATTCATTAATTCGTAGAACTCTGTGAATGGATGACAAGGATGGAGTCCCGTGCAGCCGCACTATTTTTAAAATGTGACATCGGGCAGGGAGAAGATCCCTGCCTGCTTTCATGGGGAAGGGGGAGTTGTTGCAGCGGACTGCTCCAAAGTAACATATTACACTCTAATTACAGGTGTACTATGTCATAAAAGGTGAACGTATCCTTTTATATGACGGAGAAATAATTTAGCCCACATTTTTTGCTTTTCTGGACCTTTTAGATATAGTGTATATATATACCAGTATGATATTACTTGACTAATGGGGTGACTTCTCTCCTCACTAGATGCTCCTTGAGAAGCTGAACGGCACAGTACCCTGTCTGCTGGACACAGCAACCATTCCTGCCTCTGAGCTTACCATGAAGACCTCTCGCTCTGGAGCGGACTCTGGCATTGGAGAAGGCACCTCCTGTCGCCCATCCAACGGGGAACCCAGCATGCACCCTTACAACCGAACTTTCTCCCCACACTTTCACAACTTGGTGGAGCAGTGTCTGCAGAGGAACCCTGAGCTACGGTGAGCCTTGGTACAGCACAATTTAGTTGGTGTCTAAGGCTGAGAAAGTGGAAACGAGTGAACAACTTTGTAAATTTCAGTGCTGTAAAGCTGAACTACATTTGTTGTTCCACTTTACAAGCCGGCCCAAACTATATCTTTCACTAACTTCTGAGGCTGTTGCATGTGCGGTATAAACTGTATGCAGCAGAGGCTATGTACAGCACACAGGACTGTGTTCTGGTCCAAGCCGAGACCTTCCAGTCTCAGACCGGGAACACCACAGAGTCTTCTGGAGCGGCTTTGAATAAAAAGCTTTCTCTAATTGGCTGATTCAGAGATTGTGATATCATTAGCCCGCCTCTCTGACTCAGCCAAATCAGAGGAAGCTTTGTATTAATTGGTAGAACACATCACTTTCTCTGAACGGCTGAGTGCCACTCCAGCAGACTCTATTGTGTTCCAGGTCTGAGACAGGAAGGTCTCGGCTCAGACTGGCACACCATGCTGTATGCAATATGTAGCCTCCTCTACATACAGTTTATGCAGCAGTCTCAGAGGTTAGTGACGGACAAGGTTCATTTGGGCCAGCTTGGCCCAAATGAACTATGTAAAGTGGAACAAAAGATGGAGTTCAGCTTTAAGCACCGTGTATTAATAATGAGCAGCTGTTCCAATAAGGCTACAACAGTGTTGCTTTAACCCCTTGACGCCAACCGTACGCAAATTAGCGGCCTCATAGAACTGGGCTTTTTTCCATGGGGCCACTAATTTGCATACCTGTCTTTCTACTGGGAGCACACCGCGCTCCCAGCACAAAGACCGGGGTGTCACTGAGAGCCCCGGGTCCCATTCTAACAATCGGGATCAGGAACTCCCGATTCAGGGTCACCTGATCTCTGTGATGGCCTTTGACTAGCTATCACAGTGATCAGTCACTTTGAAGCCCGCCCCCTTGGTTTCTCTCTCTAAATTGAGGAGAGATACATTATCTCTCTGTCCTTTCAAAGAGGGAAAAAAAAGTGTGTAAAGAAATTAATAAATAAAACTAATAAAAAGTACCTAGATTGAGGTTTGATCTAAGTCTGTGCTAGGGTTAGTGTTTAGGTCAGGGTTTTTTTTTTTTTTTTTGGGCCAGGTTTTTTTTTGTTTTGCTTTTTTAGTTTTTAAATTAGTATCAGTGTCAGTTAATGGAAGAATAAAAAATAAAAAAAAATTGCGCACTATGGTTTCTGGGCTGTACTACGGGTACTAACAACAACAACAACAACATACACACCTGTGGTATCATTGTGATCATCAGGAGCAGGAGAAATTATTTTGGGCTGTTCTTTGGTGGCAGGTTATGGTATTAGCAATATACAGCTAAATTTTAAAAATTTACTAAATGTACTATTTTGGGCCAGTTTTCCTGGGTAATAGAAAAAAAAAATCAGGAGATATCCATTACCATTTACCACCAAATAAAAGCCCAATTTGTCCTGAAAAGGTATAATCCACCTGGATGTACAAAGTAGTTGTGGTGATATGAACGGTTTTGCTAATACATGTCAAAGTTGCAAAATTATGCTTCGGCGTTAGGATTTGCTTTACCCTTAGGCACAAAGGGGTTAATTCTGCCCTCAGCTCCATTGAGCCTTTGGGAGTAAGGTTTAAAAAGAAGCTGTGTGTACAGTCCACATCACTCTGGTAGGAGATTACATGCAGATGAGGACTGTGTCACACAGGACATTCCTGGACCAATTAACAGTACTGTCATATGATCGAAAAGGAAGTGAGTCACATGCTACCCAGACTAAACAAAGTGGTAGGGTAGCTACTGGACAAGGGTTGGCGTGAAACTACAACTGTTGCAAAGCATCAACTTGCCCTAAAAAGTTTAGCTATGGTGCAGCTTGTAAAGTAGCCAGCATTTTCCGTTACCGCACTGATGGTTTCTGCATTCTAATTCATATTTTTGTGTTTTGCAGGCCAAATGCTGGCACTCTGCTCAATCATTCCTTCTTCAAACAGGTAAATGTGCTCATGTTCTAGCCATGCTACAAGGGTAGTGCAGTGCTTGATCAGTTGGCATGCTGCAGTTGCTGTATTGGGTTGAATGACATATTTGTAGATAACTGAGCAGTCCTTCTGCAAACTTTTTGAGGGACTATCCACAAGAAATTCTAAGCCTTAGTATAACCCAAAATCTGCGCTCAGAGAAGAACTAAGACCAATATATAGCAGCTGGACCCTACACCTTGATACCAGGCACCTTATATAAAGTGCAGCACTCAAAACTCAAGATCCACAAGAAATAGCTTTGCAGATGCTTCTGACTCCTCCATGTAACTCCACAACCTTTCCTGCATTTTACGGCATGAGGCATCCTATTCATTTTGAATGAACTGGCAGTGCAGCTTATTGCACTAAAAAGCATGACTCCACCCTCCTCCATTTTATTTTTTGGACACCGCACCCATGGTCTGAATTGTGATGCCCAGCTTGATACATTAGGTGAAGATGTGAATGGGCCCAGAGTCAAATTTGTTAACACTAACTAGAGGTACAAGAGTCCCAAAGTTTGTTTACAGAGGGGTATTGGGAAGGAAGCACCCTATGTGTCACCCAACCAGCATGCTCTGATAGGCTTTCAGTCTGAGTGCAAGAAGCTGATACCAAAGCAAATGTAGGTCCTAAAACTAGTTTCACTGAAAGTGGAGTTCCAGCTGTTTTTGTGTTTATTAAAAGTCAGCAGGTACAGTTTTTGCAGCTGCTGACTTTTAATAAACACATTTGCCTGTCCCGGGGTCCAGCGATGTGCTCACCCGCACAGTCCTTTCTCTCCTTCACAGTGCTGGCATCTCTACTGTGGGCACCAGGCTGTGACCTCTTGTGGCTTCACAGCCTGGTGCCCACTGTGCATGCGTGAGTTGCGCCTCCTGACTGGTCCGGTAGTCTCCTGGGACCTGTGAAAGTTCTGGATACAAATGGAAAAACAGAAAAAGGGCGCACCGACCTAGTGCATTATCATTTAAAATAATTTATTAAAGAAACAAAAATAGGTATCATACTCACAATGGACATAACACAGGCATGTCAAACTGAACAAGATGTATGATCCAAACAACATCTGAGTCCATACGATGGAACCCTGGATGACCAACTGGCTAACGCATTTCGAGGACACAACCTCTTCCTCGGAGCCAACCTGGTTGTTGTTTGGATCATACATCTTGTTCAGTTTGACATGCCTGTGTTATTATGTCCATTGTGAGTATGATACCTATTTTTTTTTCTTTAATAAATTATTTTAGATAATGCACGAGGTCGGTGCGCCCTTTTTCTGTTTCTCCATTTGTATCCAGTGTATTCGGACCACCCCGGTCTGTTGAGGGCAGCAAGCAGCACATATTCCAGAACATTCCTATTGGGTCTACTGAGTCCTTTCCTAGCGCAGGAGTAAGGTGTTTGTTTTGTTGGACCTGTGAAAGTTTCGTAAGAGACTGTGGGAGCGAGGAGGGGGTGAACTTCTGGGTCACTTCACTGCGGTGAACTGAGCTGGAAGTAGGAGCGGGTACCTGTCAAAACCAAGTACCCCCCCCCAAAAGGTGGCAAATATGGCAGTGGAGGGGGGAGGCAAATAAGCGGAGCTCCGCTTTAAAGAGGTTATAAAGGCAAAAAACATTTTTACCAAATTTTTAATGTTTTAATTTAAATTTTTAGTTTTTAACCATAATGTATTCTCTGCATTAAGGTAAAAGACCTTTTTAAAAGTGCCCAACACCCCCCCCTTTAAAGACTTACCTGTGCCCATGCCCATCCACAGCAGTTTTCCCAACCCCCCCCCCCCCCCCCCCCCAACACCATCTCTTTTCTCACAGGAGACTTGGCAGCAGTGAAAGCCATAGCCTCCTGCTGCTGTCAGACAAATCTTTTGGGGTAGAGGGGGCAGGGCCAAGGCACATTATGTGTGTCTTTAGACTCACACAGTCTGACTTGAGATCAAGCCCACGTCTGTTCCCATGGCAAGCTGTTTACTATGGAGGCAGACGAAGAAGGAAGAGTGGACAGCATCAGCATGGGACCATTGGGGCCATTCAGTGCAAAACTATTGCACAGAGCAGGCAAGTATGACATGTTTGCTATATACAAAAACAGCCAAAAAAATTAACACAATCACTCTAAAAATGCATCTAATACCTGTAAATTTCTTGTTAACATCTAACTTTTGTTTTAAAGACTATCAAATTAACAAAGATTTCTACTTGCAGATAAAGCGCAGAGCTTCTGAAGCCCTCCCCGAGCTCCTCCGTCCAGTGTCCCCCATCACCAACTTCGAGGGAGCTAGAAGTTCAGAGCCTCCTGGATTAGAGGGACTGGTATCTAACATGGAGCAGTTGGCTGTGGATGATTGGGACTTTTAAGGAGGAAAGGGAGGAATTGGGGAAGAGGGGAGGGATTGGAATCCCGTTAATGTTTACACTGAGGAGCCCCTGCCAGGGCTTCTCGCTTATTGGAGATGCATGAGGAAACCTACCATCACAAATCTTAGGAGTCCATACAGAGACACTGCCTCTGGTGTTGGCCACAGCCTCATCTCACTGTTTGTGTTGTTTGGTCCTCTGGAAGAAGGCACACTATGCTGGAATCAGTCTTGTATATACACATAGTTAACCTGCTTAGCACTGTACTGTCACTGAACATCAGTTCATTTGGTTATCGGGGTTCAGCACCGTTCACCCAACCCTTCTTGTTTACAGCCTTCACCTGCTAGTCAGTGTTGTAAAAAAAAAAAAAAAAAAAAAAGCGGCCATTTTTTACAAATTGGCCCACCACAGGTCCGTTCTATAAAGCTTTATGATTCCTGTAAGCAGGGAAGGGCACCTGCTTCACTTATAGGAGAGGGATTGATTAACCAAGACTGACATCACAGGTCCTCAGCATGGTTAGGTATGCCTGTGGCTCACCTCCCATATATCCTACAGCCCGCACTGGAGGCTGTCCTATTATTGGATATCAACCAGACTGTGCACAGTATTTACCCTGGAACACCCATCAATGGGACAAGCTGTGTCCGATGGTCATCAGGCACTAGGGTCCTTAACAACCATCCCAACTTGCTCATGCAAAGGACAGGCTAGCCTGCTGCGAAAGGGCTCATTCTTGGTGGGAGGGCTACTACTTCTAGACAGGCGTCGTTTGACTGTTTACAATGCATATTTTATTGGAAGGGCATGTTCAGCTGTAACACAATTGGAATTGTAGTGCAGGGCAATGAAATGAACATGGCCATTGGTATCTTGTATTATACTGGTCAGGCTGCTAAAGGGTATTGGCCAATATGCAACACCTCACAATTTTCTGGGCAATGTGACTTGGCTTTTCCCTGCAGTGCAGGTAGCTCTTTGGAAGGAGCTCAGAAAACAATTTCATCTTTCCTGTTTCTGTAGAGGTTGGGGCCTGTAACAGGAAATGAAGCCTTTCCTAAACCTCACCCTAATTCTGTGGGTCATGGACAACATAGTAGCCCCAACACTCAGTGATATTTCATCCAACAGCGAACCTTTCGTTTTACCCAAGTTACTTTGATTAGAAATTTTCCTTGGATGCTGGCATCTCATTTACAACTTTTACTTCAGGTCTTGTAACAGGACATAAAAGTAGAAACGATTCTTACCTTCAATTTTGATCCTGACTAGAACTCTCTCTTAACAGGTGCTAGAATGGACACGGTACTGTTTGTATACAAAGTAATAACTTAAACCTTCTATAAAGTTGATGGTTTCATTGCCCTGCTTTACAGGATGAGATGTGATGAATATAGGACATGCATATTGCACCCCTTCATCTGTGGTGGAAATTACCACCCGGTGTGTGTTGACAACCCTTCCTGGAATGGTAAATGCTGTTCTTGTGTTATTTGTAAAGGAGTTGCTGAATTGTAAAACAATATGCTTGATCTTCAAGCTCTCTTCTCAGCAAAAATGGTTCTTTTTCCAGGTTTATCCGTGTGAGCCTCGGTCTACATGCTCAGCAGCTTTGCTGAATAATCTTTCATGTTGTGATTCATTCGCACAGGCATTTTGCAATTGCTTCAAATCACAGCAGCTAGCTGGGTGATCGCTGGCTGTGTGAAGTCACCAATAACTGCAGCCTCTGACAGCCTGTCATTGCAGTGTACATACTTGACAGATGCAGCTGTCACTCCAAGCCACAGAAATCAGATTCTTGCTGATGGGATTCGCAGCATAGAAAAAATCCTGTCCAAATGAAGCCTTGCTTGGAGTGCTCCTGCCTTTTGGCCCCTTTTAAAGGGCTAATGTAACTTTTTTGTTTTGCGTGTATATTGGTTAGCTGGGTTTTTTTTTTCTTTTTTCAGATTCCACTGGTGAGCTACCTCTGTCACTATTTGCATTCAGGCATTAGAAATCCAATCGATGGATTTTACATTACATAAAATAGACAACTGAGAAGGGGGTGCTAGGAGTCCAACTGACACAAAACCTACTGCAAGGAAATCTCACTATTGCATTCACTTTATATAGATAAAATCCAGTTATATCCATTTACTCAATGCTATGAGAAAATAGAACATCCCTGCACTAAAAAGATTTGGTTTAGCTGGAGCTGCCCTGGAACTCTAGAATTTATATGTGATAGCAGACCTACATAGGTATTTCAACAAGGGTGTCCATAACCCCTGTTTCACATCTGTGTGGGTGGTGCCACTGCAGATCCGCACAAAAATCCGTGCAGCTGCACCACCCAGACCACGTGGGCAGGTGCCATTAGTTCTAATGGTACACCGCCCGATCTGGAAAATGCAACCGAGGTTTCTATGCGGGCTGTATATTCCAGAGTAGTGCAGGGACTTCTTTCCCTGCGTGTCACGGGCACCTACTCAAATGAATGGGCTCTCGTGCCCCAGCAAAACGCGGCCCGCATAGGTGTGAATCTAGGGTTAGACCTATGACAAACCAGACTGATTCAGCCCATTACACACCACTGCTTTCTACTTTGTTTTTCTGTGGCCTTATCCATTTTACACATTGTTCATTGCTAGATGTAAACCCATACAGATGGTGTGGGAGGTACACACTTTGCCTTTTTACATTGTAAATGCTATTGGATTTGTACACAAGGGCTCATTTACAAAGCATGGTGTTTTGCATTCCATACAAGTTTATGGGAACATAAAACCCAATGGAAGTGTGATAAATTTACCTCTCAATGATGTCATCAATACAGGTCCTTCTGGCTTCCAGACTTTGAAGCTGGCACAGCACAACAAAAAGCTAAGAGGAGAGCCTGATCTCTATGGGGCTTCACCAGCTACACACCATGGGACAGTATTTGATGAACAGGGCCGCAGTGCACATTGGAGAGCAGGTAGTGTTATCTGCTGTCTGTTATTGATCTCCCAAGACAGTCTCCACTTTGTTGGGCTGCATAAATAGGAAAGATGAGTAGTGGAGTTTCAGCTCTGTTCATCAACTAACTAGAAGATATACCATTTTTCTATATGTACATACACATATAAACCAATGGTACCTACCGTGTGTGCCTGCTTTTTTTTTTTTTTGCTCATGGTGTGTGTGATGAATCCACAGTAAAGGCTGGATATAGGTGACTGACATGATTCAAAGGTTCAGTGTGACAATCAAGACACTTCAGCCTTCCCACTGCCTTATGCAACTCTGTACAGTGGGGGCTGATCCTTCCCTTGGGAGGGAGATGATAGCATGTAGGTGTAATGGAATTTTACCACCCGATAGGATTTGTTAAATAAAGCCTATACTTTCACCAAAAAAGGCCCACATTTTTAATCAGATTTGCTATACAACCCCCACCCCCTCAGCCTGCAGATTTCTAGGACAGATTGTTCATAAATGGGCCGAAATCACAGCACTGTTAAATCCCATCAGGTGTAAAGACCCCCTACCACAACAGCATACATCAGGGGAAAGAATATGAAGCAACATTGCTGTTGCAGAAGTTAGGGGTGACCCCTATCCAGAGACCCAGGATTACTACTCTTCCCATGACAATCATTTGCCTACAGGCTCCACACAGGCAAATAGTAAAAGCCCTCAAACCTCTTTCTTTGATACAGCACCCCCCCTAAACAAAGCAGATGTTTTGTGGTGTTTTTTTTTTTTTTCAATTATTTATAAACTTCATTGCATGTCTACCATCTTCATGGACAAACCTGTTGTGAACTAGTGCACAGGCACATGTCATCTGGTGTTATACAATGATATGGAGATTCTCTGTTACACATTCTATTGCCAAAATAAATACATTTTAAATACTTTCACTCAATTCTTCCTAATATTTTGTAATGATCAGCAATGGTTAACCGATTACATTACCGAGATTTTGAAATGTGGCTGATTGGAATAATTGCAGGTAAGTGTTTTTTAAAGCCAAATTCAAACATAGATGATGTATGGGGAGGGGGTTTTACCTGACAAAAAAGGTTGTAATTCTGTCCATCCAGTCCTGAGATTTACATGGCTCTGACACACCGCACAGCCCTATCTGGCAAAAAAAAAAAAACACCCCTTTTTTTGTTGTTGCAGTTAAATAAATTCAACTTTGCAACATGTTACATGTTCCACCTGTATTTAGGGTGGAACATGTAACATTCCCATAGCTGCAACCGTGCTTCCCCAGAGTACGGGGAGACTTCTCCCTGTACTATCTGTCAAATTTGAAAACAGCGGGGCTCTGCCTACACAGAGTCGTCATTCAGTTATGGACTTCCATGAATGAACTGCAAGCCCCGCCAGCCTTAGCGGCTGTGGGCTTGTAGGTTCCAGTGAACTACCATGGCGTTGTGGAGCTCTGTGGTCGTTCATTGAAGCTTCCTGTCAGAATATCTGCTTGCCAGTACAACTTCATCCCGTACGGCAAGCAGATATTCTGACAGGGCTGCAGGAGACATGCATGGCTTCAGCAATCCACTAACCACTGGTGCAATGCTTTCCAAGCTCCTTTGGAAATAAATAAATGCACTTTTTTTTTTTTTTTTTACCTGCAAAGTGCATTTAATATTTTTGTCCAAAAGTTGAACTTATCCTTTAAATGCTTACAGATCATGGCAGCAAAAACAGCTCCCATATATTTATCTGCGTATCTAGCTTTTTGCCTGGAGCTCAGCTTTAATATACTCATAACCTGAAAATAAAGAAAAGCTTCTGCTTTTTAAGCATCACATCCTACCTGTAACGTGATCCAGATCCATGATTTGGATGTGTGATCCAACCTACATTAGAAAATTCAGAGAAACAATTTTTAGCTTAAGTTTTTATTTATACCAAAAAGAAAAAAAAAAAAAAAAGTCAGGAAAGGTCAGGCGTTATCCCTCTTCTTCAGGAGAATCACTTTCATCGTGTTCAGCCTTGTGCTTCTCCATCTTCGCAATCAATTCTAGAGGAAAAAAAAAAAAAAGACCATTAAGTGTATATACTGTACCTAACTATTCAATATAACGATCAAAGATTCATAGATTTCAATAATTGATTACACACTAAGTGGGTGATTGATTTTGTACAATATGGAATAATCAGTATTAGACTGATTGGGCAGAAAACTCAAGACTCATCTACCTGAATTCAAACAGCATATTTGCTAGAAAGATCATTTGAAACAGTCTATATGATGTGTATGCTCAGCATAACTGATAGGTTAAAGCAGGTTATACAGATCTTAGCACTGCATTCGGTTACCAATCAATTCATTTAGATCCCATTCAAACCTTAGCATACTGGTACATTGTGTGCATTAGGCAATCCAACCAAAATGTGCAAAAATAAATGGTGTTTTTTTTTTGTTTTTTTTTTTAGCAATGCAGCACACCACAACACATGGTAGTTGTGGTACAGAAGAGCTGAGTTAGGAAGTCATTCAAATAACCACACAGGAGTGGTGCAAATGGGCTCTAACTCTAAAAATGAAACTGGGAAAATTCATACTAAGTATGTAATGAAAGCATGCATAAGAGGTTACCTTAAGTGGAAACTATGTCAGGACGATGAGTAGATCCTGAGGTACAGGATGACTTGCCTCTGCCTCTCTCAGCACTTCATGGTTCAATGAATCCATGACATTGAAGGACCATTAAAGTGGATTTTTTTTTTTTTTAAAGCCTGACGCTTTAACCCCTTGCTCTCCAGAGGATTTACCCCCCTTCCTGACCAGGCCTTTTTTTGCGATACAGCGCTGCGTTACTTTAACGGACAATTGCACAGTCATGCAACGCTGCACCTAAATGAAATTTACGTCCTTACCCCCCCACAAATAGAGCTTTCTTTCGGTGGTATTTTTGACTAGAGGTTTTCCCTGAAGATAACCTCCCTCTTATGCAAGGTTTCATATAACATTACAAAGACAAGTCAATCACTCCTTGGGGGGACATTAGAAACCATATACTGTGTGGAAGGGAGCTAGACTCCCAAAACGTGTTTAGCACTTTCCACTACAGGGTCCCCACTACCTGGGACCATTGATTGTGGCTGTCTCTCTGTTTTTATGACCTATTGGTTTTGCGAGTATCCATTTGTTTTCATCACGGTAATGCACGAGGAGAGGGCGCCCTCTTTTATCCTTTTTTTTTTTTCTGCTAGTACCAAGACTCCCCTATCTTTGGAGGGCTGCACCTTAGCAAGTAACTATATACATGATCTTGTGCTATATAAAGATCTGAGCGCTGGTTTTTAGAATATATTGGAGTTTTTTCACCGGGAGGAGAGGCCAACAGAGTGTCCTATGTCAATTTCTATTGATATAGCCACACCTTTAGAACTATATCTTCCATATCTACACAGTGTAGGCTCTTGGGAGTCAATGCAGTAGTACTGCTGGGAAAGAAATCAACAATTGCATGCGGTGTGGGGATAGAGAAGGGCAGGAATAGGTGAAGTTCGACAGAGAAATGGACAGGACTGACAACGCTTGGGATTTCAGTGAAGTGAATTCAGCTTTGTCAGTCCACTATAGGAAGTTAAGAGCTCACTGAATTTCTAGCAAAATCACAAGGTAATATTCTGTACTTGCAGTAATAAAACAGAAAATGTACATATTGCAGAAATATATAAATTTATTTTATATATATATAAATATATATAAAAAAAAATAAAATATATGTTTTGGGGTTTCTTTTTGGGCCTAGACAGGCATTACACAACCTATCCCAGAACAACTTTAATTGACCCTCAGATTTTTTTGGCTAGCTGTAGCCACGACACAGAACACAATACATAAAAATGGTAATTGAGCGCTGGGAACATCAAAATAAAGCAGCTAGCATAGGAGGTAACCTTTGGAACCCAATGATGAGAACATGTAAAAAAAGTATGCAGCGCTAATAAAGCTAAATAAGAACAAATGGAAAATCAGAACATAAGTTGCACAATAGCATAAGTGAAAAAACTCAGTCCATATTACATGGTGAGATAAAGTGATAGGTGCAATTGTCCAAGTAATCCATGGTCAGAGATAATCGTGACTCTTGTGATCTTATAGTTGTACAAATAATGCACTAACCAGATAGCGCATAAAGTGCACATGGAGCAATTAAGACCCGCTCCTGGTGCTCTGGACTTGTGATATTAGGAGGATGTCATCTACAGGTTGGCCACAAGATGTCATCAATCCAGGTATATTCATAAGAATGAGATCTGGCCACCAGGGTGTCAGAGAGCCCTCTGAGGAAGTGTTATTTACACGAAACGCGTTAGAAAGGTGCCCCTGACCTGTGTACTCATACCACAAGGCTATCCTGACTGACACCCTGGTGGCCAGATCTCATTCTGGATGTAAGTGTATCCGTTATCTGTACATGCTGTAAGTTTGCTTATTAAAGATATACTACACTATTAGAAGCTTCTCTGGGTCTCATCTACTGCATGGGAGCCCACTTTTGAAGGTTCCTGCTGGTTTGGAGTGATGTGTGATTACCCCCTCCCCCGCTGATGATTTTTCTGGTGGATGACTTAGGAATATACCTGGATTGATGGCATCTTGTGGCCAACCTGTAGATGACATCCTCCTAATATCACAAGTCCAGAGCACCAGGAGCGGGTCTTAATTGCTCCATGCGCACTTTATGCGCTATCTGGTTAGTGCATTATTTGTACAACTATAAGATCACAAGAGTCACGATTATCTCTGACCATGGATTACTTGGACAATTGCACCTATCACTTTATCTCACCATGTAATATGGACTGAGTTTTTTTCACTTATGCTATTGTGCAACTTATGTTCTGATTTTCCATTTGTTCTTATTTAGCTTTATTAGCGCTGCATACTTTTTTTTACAAGAACACAATACATACCTTTAGCAGGGTTAAAAACACCATTTGTTTGTGTGTTGCACACATAGCACCGCTTGGATTTCCGATAATGTTGCAGGGCACAGCTCTCACAGAAATAGTGTTTACACCTAAGAGGAGAAACCATTGTTTACTATTAGATTCCATTATTTTTCTGCCTTCCAGCAGTAGATAGATACATAGGCATTAAGTAAACCAAGTGCTTAAGGCTGAACTCCGGGCAGATTAAAAAAAAAAAAAAAAAAAAAAAAAAAAAAAAAAAAAAAAGAATGCAGCTCTGTATTTATTAATACATCATTAAATGTATTTGTTTAAGTGGAAATACCTAAATTTCAACTTGGTAACAGTCTCTAGCAATCTACCCTGTACAGCAAAACTGCGACAGGGAGAAGAAGCACAAAGACCATAAGTTGTGTTAACAAGTGACATACTAATAGGAGTAGATATCAGAATGACACAGAGAAGAGCACATCAATCTACTGCTTCTCCTTCCATTGTCCAGTCACAGGGTGGGGGGAGGGGGGGGATAACTTGTACATTATTTCAAGTGAAACTAAACAAATTGATCTGCTTCCCAAAACAGTTACATTCTAGGCATTCCATGAATGAGAACTGTCACAGCTGCTTATGCTCTTAACCTTAGTGTCAAACCATCAAATGGCCAATGGTATAACCCAGGGGTGTCAAATTGGTGGCCCTCCAGCTGTTGCCAAACTACAAGTCCCATGAAGCATTGCAAGATAGCCAGTTACAAGCATGACTCCCAAAGGCAGTGGCATGATGGGACTTGTACTTTCGCAACAGCTGGAGGGCCACTAGTTTGACATCCCTGTAAAGAACGGATCACATGCACAGCACCATAGCATCTGCAGATCAAGCAGAGACTGACATGGCAGCTTCCTTGGATGTAAAGGACAGGAGGGTTTATTTCTGCTTTACTTGCAGGCAATACCAAGACCAGATCTCCTCCCCTGCCAGACAGGGCTGTACTGTGTAAATCTCAGGACTGCATGGACAGAAATATATAAATCATTTAGCTTGTAAATGTTTTTATCTGCATGTGTGAAGTTCAGCTTTACATTGTGAATGATTTCTAAAAGAAACAAAGGGAATGTTTCTTCCTACATCTGCATGCATTATGTCCTGGCATACAAGTTCCACAATGATGCTATATACAGAATGGCATTGGCCAGTTTTTAGTGAAACTGGGCTTCCACAGCACGTTCCCATACGGCACAATAAGAAAGTGAACTCAAGGAGAGAGGTGGAAATGTCTGGGATTCAGGAGAATTCTATTTTGAAAGGTGTGTTATTTCTGGTATTTGATTTATCGAGAGTTACTTACTTGGTTATAATCGGGTTCTTAAAGGAGTCTCTGCATATAAAACATTTAAAGGGAAAGTCCTCATCATCGCTGCTCACTTCATAATTCTCTTCATCTGAGCAGTACAAAACAAGAGAAGGTAGGATGTTAATACTCTTTGGTGGTCCTCTCATCATCAATGCTGATATAATGGCATCACATTCTGTAAAAAGTGCTTTGCTTCTTAAGCCTTACAATCCAATAGGGAAACTAATAAATATAGAATAGCTGACACACTTCTATATCTAAAATCAAAAAAAACCAAAACATCTCGCCATTTTTCCCCTCAACATAGATAAGTGGGTCTGGATCTCTGACCCAATAAAATCTCTCCATCCTGTGTTTTTTGGGTTAGTCACAATGCACAGACACAGCACACTCCCCCATAATCCATGGTTTGGAATACTTATGTGTATATCAGCAGATGCAGCAAATGCTAACAGGTTAAGGCTACGTTCACATCTGTGGGGGTGGTACGGCTGTGGATCCACAAGAAAATTTGTGCAGCTGCACCACCCGCACAGAGGAATGTGGACCCACGTGCGGGTGCCATTAGTTCTAATGGCATGCCGCCCGCACTGGAAAAAGCAACTGTACTAGGAACCGAGGTTCCCGTGCTGGCTGCCTTTTCAGAAGAAGTGCAGAGACTTCTTCCCTGCGTGTCACGAGGCACGGGAGTCAACATGAATGGGCTCTCGTGCCCGCACAGCCACATATATGTGAACCTAGGGTAGGACACAACTACTCTGTCATTAGAAACCAAAAAATAAAAATGAAGGCGGTGACCACTTAAAATGCACACGGAAGCAGAGTATACAAGCAAAAAAGGACAATATATGGTAAGCATCCTCTAATTTCTATGTAATGAGCCAGCCAACCAACCTACTGAACAGAATGGCTGACAAGCTGCTGCTCTTAGGGTTCAGTGCAAAAACAAAGATGTTGGCATCTAAATAAAGAAAGGCAACATGCCCCATCCTTTGACGGAGGCACACACGTCACACACGTCACACCCCTAAAATGTATCTCACCATTAGCTCCATATCGGCCCTCTTCCAGTTCTCGCTCCAGCTGCCAGCCATGTTTGTAATCTGAACGGTCATGCAGAAACTTACAGCTGTCTGGAAAGAAAAATGAAAAATGCTGGTTAAATATAAAACAGCAGCTAACCTAAGGAGGCAAGAGACAGGAAAGACTTTCATAGTCACACTCACTTCTAATAAAGAATGATGGGATACTCTTCTGTTCTCATTGCCTTATAATGAACCTGTGCTTAACACATGCAGCAAAATGAAACATGTTCATAATAAGGATTGGCCTTCAAGGGATTAGGTTTGTGTCAGAAGAGTTTTGTAAACAAGTCTATGGGAATGAAAAACCCATATGAAGCAGGTTAAATACAAGTCAGAAGGAGGTCAACTGCAAGTTGAATTCAATAATCAATGAATTCTGAATGATCTCAGAAGAATGTCATCAGCACAAGCCCTAATGTCAGTCTTTTCAGCTATGTACCATGCCAATCTGTTGGTCTACACGAGGAAAGCGAGCAAGCCATGTGTAGAACCCAATTCATGACCTAGATACTACACAGTGATGAGGACCCATGTGACAGTACTGGGTGCCTTAGCAGCCAATCACCAGCTCCATAAGAGAAGGAACATTTTCAATTAATTCAGATTCATTCTTTACACGGCGCCTCTGCTGAATGGCCAATTTCCTGTGTTCAGAATGCAGCAGGCCAAACACTCAGCATGGGACCCAGAACCAAACGGAGATCACTGGAATAGCAGTGCCTGCTTCCAGGGGCATCAGTCAGGTATGGTATATGCCTAGTTACATTGGTCCAATGTACCTATGCATCAAAAACCATACCTGGAATTCCTCTTTAAAGCGAGCCTAATACAAAGCAAAATCCATTTGAGAAATCAAAGTGAAATGCAATTGTCTCACCTCCAAACCCACAAAATCCAGTCTCCTTGTAATCTTTACAGATATCAGGCTGATAGTCCCATCTCACGGTAGCTCGAAGATGTTCAGGAGCTCTGATTGGACCTTTCCTGTATTAAAGAAACCACAAAATAAAAAACAATACTGAAAGTCTTCTTGCTATTAATAGAAAGAAGGTGATAACAACACTGTTATATATCAGTTATCCTACATATTGAATCTAATTGACTATCCCAAATCAGGGAGCTGGTTGGCTGATGCAGAGACAGATATGCCTCTGCATTGGATTTACAGAAAAGGTCCAGCATCTTAATGATATAAAAGGTCACGTGAGTTCATTATATTTTATAGTTTAACTGCTTCCCCACCGCCCTATAGCAGAACTACTGAGGCAGGGCGGCGTAAAGAGACACACACACACACACACACACACACTTTTGCATTTCTGGGAAGGGGGCGAGTGCTGCCTTACACCGCGCGCCGCCATTGGCAGCTACGGATGTCAATCACCGGGTCCCAGCCGGAGATTCCCCGCCGGCACCTGGCGATCACCAAGAAGCAGTGACAGGGAGAGACCTGTGTGTAAACAACACAAGTCTCTCTCCTGCTAGCAGTAACATGCTGCTGTGTACTTCTCTGCACAGCAGAGAAATACAGTGGCATGTTTCCCTAGTAAAACACACACAGCATAGCACACAGTTTGATCGCCCCAGATGTTAACTCCTTCCTGTCCAGTGTCAGTACAGTGTCAGTGCTTATTAGCACTGATCACCAGGGGCGGACTGACCATTTGGAAAGGACACAGGGGCCCCATGATCCCCTATTGACTAGGGGCCCATGAGTTGTCAGTCCGCCCCTGATGATCACTGTATTAGTTTCATTGGGATATCAGTGGCAGTTAGTCAGCCCCCCCTCAGTGTTAGAATGCCCGCCGCAGTCCCACTATAAGTCGCTGATCGCCGCCATTTACTAGTATGAAGAAAAAAAAAAAAAAATTCCAGTATATATACTGCAATCTGTAAATGCTATAACTTTCATGTGAACCAATTAATTTACACGTATTGGGATTTTTTTTTTTTTTTAGCAAAGACATGTCGCAGAATACATTTTGGCCTAAATTTATGACGAAACTTGATTTTTTTTTACTGGATAGGTTTTATAGCAAAAAATCAAAAATATTGTTTTTTTTTGTTTTGTTTTTTTCCCAAAAAAGTCGGTCTTTTTTGTTTATGGCGCAAAAAATGCAGAGGTAATCAAATACCACCGAAAGAAAGCTCTATTTGTGGGAAGAAAAGGACATACACTTCATTTGGATGCAGCGCTGCATGACTGCGCAATTGTCAGTTAAAGTAACACAGCGCTGTATCGCAACAAATGGCCTGGTCAGGAAGGGAGGGGGGGATCCTCTGGAAGGCAAGTGCTTAAGACACACTTTTAGTCTCGCATATACTTAAGGAGACTTCGTCACTGTCAGGGCAGGAAGTGAGGGTAAATCTCCCTAACAAAGACAGAGATGGAAATAAAAACCTGACAAAAGTTCTAACTCTTTCCCATCCTAAACAAAACAAAATAAAAAACTTTGGATATGAGTTGGCCTTTAAATGCAACAATGGTTTGGAAAGCAGGCATGACCTTACAAGTGTGCCCCCCTCTCCAGCACTGTGCAGGCACTGTCCCCTGCTGCCGTCATCGCCTCTGCCTCCACTTCCAGGTTCCCAGTCGTCCTCTTTGCCCATTGGGTGGCCACTGATTATGTGATTCCTGCAGTCCTAGTATTTTACAGATCCTAGAAACGAGCCAGGAATGTATCCTGCATAACAGATGTGCCACACAGTGTACAATAAAAGTTGCTAGGGGAAAGTGTAAAATGTTTCTTGGCTGAAGACATTCTGTGTCTCTTTCAAAAAAATCTCTACCTCCTAGCATGTACAGTGTTACAGGGACAACACAAGACAGCAGGTGATCAGTGATTGGCCGGCTTACCTCACCATGCCAGAGGAAGCGTTTCCAAGTGACGTGTCTTTAGGCTTTACAAACTTCTGGTAATTGTGCATTCCACGATAGATCTTGTCATCTTCTTTTCCTTTTAGCTCCTGACATCAGGGTAAGGGAAAGTCACATATCACATAAGTCAGTAGTGTTTGTGTCAGCATTCAAGACTTTTTTTTTTTTTTTTTTTTTTTTTTTTTTTTTAAATAAATACAATGTAATCTTGCTTTCAATTGCTGAGTAGGTGATCACATGGCCCTTGGCTAACAAGAGCCAAGTCACTTCATGACAGACATAAGGCTGTAGTTTTCAATTAAGACAGACCCTTGTGGGCTTAACGTGAGAAAGAGAATCAGCAAGGACCCCCAAAGTGCAGGCACGATGAACGCATTTCCCCCCAAAACGGACCTTCACATATGTGGGCCAGAAGGACAATGGTAGGACACTATGCTGGAGGCTCCGTTAGGGAGAGCAACAATCTCCATTGTCTATGTATGTTATGCTGTGGATGCTGTAGGCAGTATCACCAATACAGGAGATTACAAATGTCAACAGGTCTAACCTTTTTAAAATAAGATTACAAACTGGATATCAAAGTCATTCTGAAACATTCCATCTCACCTCTTGTACTTTCTGGCTCCTCTCAAATATTGCCTGGGCATCCTTGTCCTTCTCTGTATCCAGTTCATATGTGGCTGTGGCCCCCATGTCATCAGGCCCCACAGGTTTCTGAGAAAGCGATACACATCTTATACACATATTAGACATCCCACATGTCACAGGAATGACCATTTTATGGAAAGTTCAACCATGCCATGTTTTTAAAAAAAAAAAAATCCTAAACTATGACACTGTAGGTATACTTTTTAAATGAGAGAAAAACAAAACAAGACTATTAATGAACCAGGGACCCATCTGTCTTCTAAAACCTCAAAAATAAATTGAATAACACAAGCGCTAACTGTGGTGAAATAAAAACAAAAATTGCAATTAAATGCTGTAGCCGCTAGTGCACACAACCCATGTCCTCAGTGAGGGAAATTATACAATCATAATGTGAAGTGAAAAATGCTGCGCTACATGAAACAATGGCACAAACCATTATATAACCAAAAAACAAAGTGAAAAAATAAATATATATTAGAAGAAAAAAAATAGTAGAAAAAATATTAATGTTGAAATAAAAAAATTACACACACACACACAATATATATAAAAAAAAATATACATCAAAAACCACACAAAAAATAAAGAATATATTTTTAAGTGAGAATCAAACAAAAGTAATTAAAAAAATCGAGTTCAATCAATAAAGTGTTCATTCAGTGAACCCTCCTTTGGATAATGGAAAATATGTGCATCTGTCATCAATTCCCATGCAAAGACATCCTCCAGCATATATCTGCTCACCTCACGCAGTGTGACCTGACATTATACAATGTTACGGTCTAACTGCACTTTTGGTCCCATATGGACTCCATGAAGACTCCAATGAAGACTCCAAAGTAAGCTCCCTCCTGATAAGCGTCTTTGTATCAGCCGTATTCCTCATTAAAAAGAACCCCACATAGTGCTTTATCCTTTTAAACTTTTATTCATCAATTAAAACATATGAACTACACTCATGTTTCGGAGGTCTATTTTGCACCAGGTATGATGAAGATCCTGTGATGTACTGATTGAACACTAGATGGCAGCATCATCTGAGCAGCAGAGTCCTGTACATGCTCAAACCAGACACCATCTGTAATGTAATGCGAGGCAAAGCAAGGGCCCACTTAATGAATGCTATTACCTGCTGTGATGTCGTTCCAAAAGCCATTTGTAGAGTACTTCAAGCCGCTATCCTGATGAATGAATGGCAACGTCGTGACATCATCCGCACACTCCTTCCCGACGCATTTCATCACTAGTCACGTGACTATCAAGGAGATACGATTGCTAATCATATCCCCTTGATACGATTGCCATTCATCGGGACAGTGGCTTGTAGCACTCTGTAAACGGCTCTTGGAATGACATCACAGCAGGCAGCGGCATTCATTAAGTGGGCCCCTGCTTGGCCTTGCATTACATTACGGATGGTGTCTGTTTTCAGCATGTACAGGACTCTGCTGCTCAGATAATACTGCCATCTAGTGTTCAATCAGTACATCACAGAATCTTCATCATACCTGGTGCAAAATACACCTCCGGAACGTGAGTGTATTTCCTATGTTTTAATTGATGAATAAAAGTTTAAAAGGATAAAGCACTATGTCGAGTTCTTTTTAATGAGGAATACGGCTGATACAAAGACGATTATCAGGAGGGAGCTTACTTTGAAGTCTTCATTCAGCAAGCTGAGCTTCTAAAACCTCACTGGACCCATGTCCATTAAAACCATAGGTTCTAGAGCCATAAAGATCATGTTCTAGAACGTTATTAAGCTCAACACACACATTACAATCTGACTGTACAATTTCCTTCAGATCTACTAACAAGTATGTTGTGCAAGGACCTGCCTGGTTAGATACAAACTGACTGGATAGTTTAGGTAGGTCCTTATTATACATAGTTGTGGTAGATATAAAACTGATTGTATAGAGATTGTGAAGTCAGATTGTAATGTGTATGGTGAGCCTTATAGGCGTGTGAGAGATGACAGACCTGAAGGAATAAAACCACAGAGGACCCCTAGAAACTAAACCATGACATATAAGACAGCACAATGAAGATAGGTCACATCAAAAATTATATTCAGAAAGAATATACAATAATTTAAAATGTGTATAAGGGTGACAGTAAATAGCGGGGTTAGTGTATCTATCGAGGTGACAGTAAATAGCGGGGTTAGTGTATCTATCGAGGTGACAGTAAATAGCGGGGTTAGTGTATCTATCGAGGTGACAGTAAATAGCGGGGTCAGTGTATCTATCGAGGTGACAGTAAATAGCGGGGTCACTGTATCTATCGAGGTGACAGTAAATAGCGGGGTCACTGTATCTATCGAGGTGACAGTAAATAGCGGGGTCACTGTATCTATCGAGGTGACAGTAAATAGCGGGGTCACTATCTATCGAGGTGACAGTAAATAGCGGGGTCACTGTATCTATCGAGGTGACAGTAAATAGCGGGGTCACTGTATCTATCGAGATGACAGTAAATAGCGGGGTCAGTGTATCTATCGAGGTGACAGTAAATAGCGGGGTCACTGTATCTATCGAGGTGACAGTAAATAGCGGGGTCACTGTATCTATCGAGGTGACAGTAAATAGCGGGGTCACTATCTATCGAGATGACAGTAAATAGCGGGCTCAGTGTATCTATCGAAGTGACAGTAAATAGCGGGGTCACTGTATCTATCGAGGTGACAGTAAATAGCGGGGTCAGTGTATCTATCGAGGTGACAGTAAATAGCGGGGTCACTGTATCTATCGAGGTGACAGTAAATAGCGGGGTCACTGTATCTATCGAGGTGACAGTAAATAGCGGGGTCACTGTATCTATCGAGGTGACAGTAAATAGCGGGGTCACTGTATCTATCGAGGTGACAGTAAATAGCGGGGTCACTGTATCTATCGAGATGACAGTAAATAGCGGGGTCACTGTATCTATCGAGGTGACAGTAAATAGCGGGGTCACTGTATCTATCGAGATGACAGTAAATAGCGGGGTCAGTGTATCTATCGAGATGACAGTAAATAGCGGGGGGGTCAGTGTATCTATCGAGGTGACAGTAAATAGCGGGGTCACTATCTATCGAGATGACAGTAAATAGCGGGCTCAGTGTATCTATCGAAGTGACAGTAAATAGCGGGGTCACTGTATCTATCGAGGTGACAGTAAATAGCGGGGTCAGTGTATCTATCGAGGTGACAGTAAATAGCGGGGTCACTGTATCTATCGAGGTGACAGTAAATAGCGGGGTCACTGTATCTATCGAGGTGACAGTAAATAGCGGGGTCACTGTATCTATCGAGGTGACAGTAAATAGCGGGGTCACTGTATCTATCGAGGTGACAGTAAATAGCGGGGTCACTGTATCTATCGAGGTGACAGTAAATAGCGGGGTCACTGTATCTATCGAGGTGACAGTAAATAGCGGGGTCACTGTATCTATCGAGATGACAGTAAATAGCGGGTCACTGTATCTATCGAGGTGACAGTAAATAGCGGGGTGATCTATCGAGTACAGTAAATAGTGGGGTCAGTGTATCTATCGAGGTGACAGTAAATAGCGGGGTCAGTGTATCTATCGAGGTGACAGTAAATAGTGGGGTCACTGTATCCATCGAGAGTGACAGTAAATAATATGGAGTCACTGTATCTATTGAGATGACAGTAAATAGCGGGTCACTATCTATCGAGGTGGTGACAGTAAATAGTGGGGTCAGTGTATCTATCGAGGTGACAGTAAATAGCGGGGTCAGTGTATCTATCGAGGTGACAGTAAATAGTGGGGTCAGTGTATCTATCGAGGTGACAGTAAATAGTGGGGTCAGTGTATCTATCGAGGTGACAGTAAATAGTGGGGTCAGTGTATCTATCGAGGTGACAGTAAATAGTGGGGTCAGTGTATCTATCGAGGTGACAGTAAATAGCGGGGTCAGTGTATCTATCGAGGTGACAGTAAATAGCGGGGTCACTGTATCTATCGAGGTGACAGTAAATAGCGGGGTCACTGTATCTATCGAGGTGACAGTAAATAGCGGGGTCAGTGTATCTATCGAGGTGACAGTAAATAGTGGGGTCAGTGTATCTATCGAGGTGACAGTAAATAGTGGGGTCAGTGTATCTATCGAGGTGACAGTAAATAGCGGGGTCACTGTATCAAGGTGACAAATGTCTCACCGCTGATCTTGTAGATTTATAGGACACCGTTACGGATTTGGAGACCTCCTCTTCCTCACTACTGCTCGCTTTGTAGTCAGCTTCCTCCTTGGCACTTTGCTTTGTCTGAAAAAGGAACATACTTTAGTTTCAGGAGACAGTACAATGTCATACAGGCAGAACCCCGATATGTGTCCCTTCTACTGACATCACAGGGAAACTATCATGGAAAACTTTATTTGCTGCCCAAGCACCCAGACCCCGACCACTGTCAGCAAGGCAACTATATGCTCATATGAGCAACTCCTCTATGCTACTGCTATCATCTGGGAGAAAATATCTCCTATATGTCTTTTAAACTCCTTCCTGCCCAGCCCTGGCATCCTTTTAAAGGGATCTGTATGCCTGGAGGGTGAGAAGGATTGCCTGATCACATGACCAATGTGCATAGCTGTCGCATAATCAGGAACTGCTCACACCCGACTCTCGATCATTAGTATGGACTGCCAGCGGACTTTGACGGCTCAGTCACTGTGCTGGGACATGCTCTATGCACAGAAAGCTCTGCTGCCCATTGACACATAGGTGTTACCTGTACAGTAAAATATTAAATATGGAAAATGCAAACTGGTCTAACAGATGTAAAGCCAACGGCTGAAATTAAAAACTCAGAAACGGTGACATCATTGTAATCACAAAAGTAATTTTCTATATTTTATAATCTGCAGCATTTATTGAATGAATACCTCCCGGCCCTACCATGAAGGTTCTTAAGGTGACATTGCTTTGTCCCTGTCACTTAAACGTCTTCCTGCCTCGTTCCCCATTAACACACTCTCCCACCCCGGTGACTACAAATAGAAGTGCAGGCACACATTGCACAAGCATGATTCACTGTTGTCACAATCAGGAAACCCGCCCTGAGAAATGCCATGCAGCCATCTCTGGAGTGCATGTAGTGGCTGCAAAGATAGGATCAGTAGTGTGGAGATAAAACAAAGGATACAAAAAGGGAAAACAATATTTTTTTTTAACCACTTTCGCGCCACCCTATAGCAGAAATACTGTATATATATATTTGAATTTGCAGTTCTCGGCAGGTGGTGTGTGCTCACCCTATCGGCACCGCCATTCGCGGCCTCGGCGGTCAATCACCGGGTCCTGGTCAGTGATTACTCGCCGGCACCCGGTGATCGCCGAGTATCTCTTGACGGGGGAGAGACCTGTGTATAAACAACACAGATCTCTCCCCTATCAGCTCCTGCACACTGCTTTGTATGGCTCTGCGTAGCAGCATTTCATTACAAAGGGTCTTCTGTATCATTCATATGACCAACCTTTGACGACCTACCTTCTGCACCATGGGGTTGACGACCTCTCTCTTCCTCCTCCTGACCACAGAAGCTCCCTCGTCATCTTCACTGCTCTCTGCAGAGACAACATGTCAGCATGCCTTCTCACCGTGACCCCAGCACAGCACACACTGCTCCTCTGACACAAGGACACTACATCAGATTTCCTGAGACAGGCTGCCACTGCCAACTCCTCATTCTCGAAATGCCATCTGCCTGGCTGTCATGCTGAGCGTCCCTAACCCACAACAACTATGCAGATGAGGACATTGGACGTCACTTCAACTTCTCGAAGTCTACTTGTCCCAGATCATGGAGTGTGGCAGGATTGAGGGCAGAGGGCCAGCCAACAGCATTCCCAGAGGTCAGCAATGGAGGCCTCTGTACTCCTCTTAGGAAAGGAACACTTTAAAGTGATATTAAATCCTCAGTTCAGTGTTTACTGCACCCGATTTATTCATTTACTGAGTAGCAGCTCTTCATCTTTTAATCTTTGCCTATGTTCCAGTTTATGTCGGTGTCATGACCACTGCACCAAGTTTCCTGCTTTATGGTGGCCCCTAACCCCACAGTGTTCTATGGAATCACCTGCGTATGTAGGGACTAGAGTTGTGTCTCTACACCGTGTACATCAATAGAAACACGCAGCCCCACAGCTTAGGATGGCAAGGTGCCCCACTGCTCTTTTCTCAAAGCTAACAGACTGACTCCAGACTGCGCTGTCCTTGGTTGACCCTTTCCTATGAAGACTGGAAGTTCAGGAAAGCAGCACTGAAGGAGCAGGAGCCAGCAGCATGGAAAGTTGTATAGTGGTGGGGTAATAATTTTACCAAATAGTTTGCTGGGGAATGTGTATCTGATTGTGATCAATGGGTAAAATAAAAACCGCTGAGGGTTTAAAGCTTAATTCCAGGTTTTGTGTTCCTTCACTCGGAAATATGTCTGCTGTCACCGGTATGTACCATCAGCTGCATATGGCGTACACAGCTGGGTTCTGGCAGCAGGATGGGGACTTCCTATTTTATTTATGCATGGCAGTCGTGTGACCGGGCTGCCTCCCCCTGCGCCGGACGCCTGACCGGGATGACTCCCCCGAGGCGGTCGTGTGACCGGGCTGCCATCACCCCCCAAAGGCTGACACATGATCAGGCTGCCCCCTCAGTCAGTCGCATCACCAGGCTGCCTCCCCCTCAGGCGGTCACGTCACCGGGGTGCCGCATACCATGACCAGGCTAAAACCCCCCCCCTCTTCCCCAAGGCGGTAATGAAACCGGGCTGCCAACCCAGCCCCCCCCCCCCCCCCAAAGCTACCCCTCTAAAGTGGTTGTGTGACCAGGCTACCCCCGACCGAAGCTGCCAACGTCACCGCCCTCCCCATGGCGGTTGTAAGACCAGGCTGCCAACACTTCCTCCCCCCCAAGGTGGCCACAAGACCGTGCCACGCCCCCCCCCCCCAGGCGATTGCGTCACCGGGCTAAACCTCCCCCAATACGATTGTGAGACAGGGCTGCCAATGTCGTCGTCCCCCCCAAGGCGGACCAGGCTGTCTCCCCATCAGTCGGTCACGTCGCTGGGCTGTCCCCCCGCTGAGGCTGCCATGTGACCGGTCGGTGTACCTATACCCTCTTTTACCCTCCCCCAACTGGCCTCACTAAAAACCATACCCTCCCGGTGAAGGTGGCTCACGTACATCATCACACCCTCACCCCACCGTGCTAAACCAGCTCCTCATCACCATCGATCTCTCCCATCCTGTTCCTTTAAATGGAGCTCCCCTTTAATTTCCCATGATGCCCCGCACAGTCCGGCAGCCAGCAAGACCCGCTCACCCCGGTCCTCCTCTCTCCGTTTCCGGCCGGCGAATTTCCGGTTGCTCTTCTTAAACATAAAACTGCACACCGACTTCTTCTCCTCCGGCTCCGCCATCTTTCCCCGAGTTCTACAATAGAGGAGGCGGAAGCCGGGCTAAAGAGGCCATAAAGGGAGCTGAGCGGGGCAGGGCGACATCTGCTGGGCGCCGAGGATATTGCACGGTGTGATCTGGTACTGCAGGTCCTTGTGCTCTATGGATGAGCAGAGAATGAGGATGAAGGGGACCTGTCATTAGACACATACAGGGGTGACAGTGCTGGGGTGTGTCTGAAAGTGTGGACTACATAGACTGTCATCCTTATCCTTGCACACCTGGAATTACCATCTGCATATCATGTTTCACTGGCTACATGCTTTTTGAGGGGGGTAGGGAGTCCTAAGCAGTGCCATGCCTCCAACTTTCTGAGATGGGAAAGAGGGACACCTGTTATCACACAGGACAAAAGACACCCCCCTCCCCCACTTATAGGAACTGGGAAGAATCAAAACCGTACCAAAAAGCAAAACTTTTTTTCTTCTTTTTGGACAGAGTGGAGAGGGAATAGACCCCCTGCCTGGTTTGTATTGCAGTCTGTGCCCTCATCAAGGAGATTCACTCTTTCTATTTGCTCTGTTTACCATTACTATCTAAAGTGAAAGAAAATCTGAAATGTTGGGTTGTCCCCACAACAGGTAGAGAGGGGAAATCTTCTAATGGGGACACTGGTTATGGTGACACCCAGGGATTCCCTCACTTTGGAGGGATTCCCTCTCACCTGTTTTGGCTATGGGACAGGAAGGGAAAGGAAATCTCCCTAATGGGACACAGATGGCAAAAAAAAACCCAAAAAAAACGTAGGGGAGTTATAACCTTCCTTTACTCCATCCAAAATAGAAAAAACAAGTTTTGCCTTTAGTTCTGCTTTAATATGTTGGAAAAAAGTTGATGAAAAAGATTCCGGAGACTCCCACTTGACAGGTGAATGTAAACAAAAGAGCCCAGTCTGGAGGTTCCCCCCACAATCCGTTTCAGGCCATTCAGGTCTATAATGAATTTTAAGGGGGAGCCTAAAAACAAAAAAAAAATGATATGAGGTCCCCAACAATTTCCATCCAAGCATGCCCCCCCCCCCCTGAACTATACCAGGCCGCACACCCTCAATATGGGGAGGGTACTTTGGCGGGGAGGGGGTAACCATGTGCCATGTTGATGAGGACAAGGGCCTCTTCACCACAACCCTCGCCGGTGGTTGTGGGGGGCTTATCCAAATCTGGAAGCCCCCTATAAAAATAAGGGGACCCCCAGATACTTGCCCACCCCATGTGAATGAGTAAGGGGTACCCCTACTCATTATTATAAAAAAATGTCAAGTAAAAATAAAAACATCAGCGCAGTTTTAGACAAGTTCTTTAAAAAAAATGATTACAATGATTTATTAAAAATTTATGTTTATCCATCATCAATCACATTGTCCAGTGATGCAGGGCCACGTCAGATCATGATGGGCCACGGCTACCGACCCACAGACCCCACATTCACTATATTCACTCTCCCCGGACCCTGCATTCACTATATCTGGTCTCGCAGGACCCTGCATTCTCTATATCCGTTCTCCCTTGGACCCTGCACTCACTGTATCTGGTCTCCCGGGACCCTGCACTCACTATATCTGGTCTCCCCGGACCCTGCATTTACTATATCCAGTCTCCCCGGACCCTGCATTCACTATATCCAGTCTCCCCGGACCCTGCATTCACTATATCCGGTCTCCCCGGACCCTGCATTCACTATATCTGGTCTCCCCGGACCCTGCATTCACTCTCTCTGGTCTCCCTGGACCCTGCACTCACTATATCTGGTCCCCCCCGGACCCTGCACTCACTATATCTGGTATCCCCGGACCCTGCACTCACTATATCCAGTCTCCCCGGACCCTGCAACTCACTATATCTGGTCCCCCCGGACCCTGTGTTCACTATATCTGGTCTCCCCGGACCCTGCATTCACTATATCTGGTCCCCCACAGTACACACAACATGGAAATGCAATTATTTTAATAAATATAAACTGCTAAATATCTTTTCTCATCAGCAGTTAGAGCAGTCTTGTGACTTCTATCAGTGTCCAGCAGAGCACTGGTTAAAGCTTGTAGGAGGGGGTTTCATTCTGCTCTAGGAGGATGCAGAACCCCTAACCTCTGTCTGGACAGTGCTGATTGGCCCTGTGCTGATCACGTGCACTCTCCCAAGAAAAAAAAACTCTTTAGCAATACACACCGAACTGATCATGTGCCAAGTGACTCCACAAGATATGTCTGATCAGGAGATAAGAGGGGGACACTGGAAGAAGGGGAGGATCAGAGAAGACAGGGTCAAACAGCGTTTTTACACAGTGCAGAGGATAAACCCCTTAGGTTCCACAGTGAGTACAATTCATTCTGCTCTAGGAGGATGCAGAACCACTGACCTCTGTCTGGACAGTGCTGATTGGCCCTGTGCTGATCACATACAGTCTCCCAAGATTAAAAAAAAAAAAAACCCCTCTCTAGCAATACACACCAAATTGAGCATGTGCAAAGTGACTGCATAAGATATGTCTTATCAGGAGATAAGTGGGGGACACTGGAAGAAGAGGAGGATCAGAGAAGACAAGGTCAAACTGTGTTTTTTTACATAATGCAGAGGATTAACCCCTTAGGTCCCACAGTGAGTATAACAAGCACGCTTTACTGCATATACAGACCGATTGTACGGTTGTGGGTTTAGTAACACTTGAAGTTCCTCTTTAACAAGTAACTCCACTTATGTTGAAAAAAAATAATGAATCCCCCTGGGGTGATCTATGTACACTGCGGGGATTTTATCTTGGTAGCAGATTCCTACCTTTTTGTTTCTGTGTAGAAATAGCTGTTTGTTTCACCAGGATGATTCCAGACTTTCTGAATGGGGGGGTCTGGTTCATTATAATCACCTGGTGCACTCTCGGTGTTCTGATGAGGAAATCTGCAGTGTTTAACCCTCGTGGAGTATCCCTCCAAAACTGGAATTTCTATGGCAGGGGTACCTAAAATCTGACTTGTAGTGCAGACCTCTGGGAAAATCTGAGAGCCAATCACACAAGCAGGAAATTACATTTTGGGGGGCGTTTCGTGCACCCACCTTGTACAGAATGCCTCTTGGCTGACATCTCATATTGAATGTTACAGAAAATTTTTAATAACATTAAATTACTCCACGGTTTGTATATGCTATTTTTTTTTTCCACAAGAGTGGAGTTTCCCTTTAAATAAAGTGACAGTTCAGTGTATTACCTGTGGACAGTATACAGTATATACACTGGTACAGAGGAATGTCCTTGTGTCCTTCATGCTGTGAGAAGGGGCACATTACACCCCCACCAGGGATCTGGTTTCTTCTGTCTCTCATCACCGCGTGTGAAGGTAGCTTGGGCCGGGACAGGGGGGGTGGTAAGACATTCTCTAGAGCCTCCTGATGGTGGGTGTGAATTCCGGGGAGGTCAAAGGAAGGGGAAATGATTCTGTCCTCCACAGATCAGACTGGCAGATCCACTGACACAGTGAGCAGAGGTACAGTACCATTATGGAACAGATCGGCAAATCAGGAAGAGGTCACCCTGTGTCAGGGAGAAGGACAACCACCGACCACGACTGGTGCAGAATATTCGATGACCCAACTTGGACAGCAACGTCTAGGCTGCAAATCACATGGTGGAGACCCTGTCTGTGGTGACCTGTCACTCATCGTCATTCATTTCTCTGCCGAGAATGAAAAAAAAGGAACCCTTACAGTTTTTATTTCATTTAAAGGCTTTCCAATTTTTTTTTTTTGAAGTTTAGGAACTGGTGCTGACCCAGAAACCAGCCAATTAGCAGCTCTGCTTAATATCTGTTCCTCCCCTTTCATCTGAAATCACGTGACCAATGCCAAGCTTTCATCCTAACGAGGGCTTGCGGGTGAAAGGCGTTAGAGGGGTGTTCTCCCATAGACTCCCTAGAGACCCGGCTGGAGCCATTTGGTAGATTTCAGTGATTATGGTGTACATGAACCGGTTCCCGATGGGTACATACTTGCGTTCGGGAGCTTTCTGATCCCGTGATTGCCAGTCACAGCAGTCACATGATCAGAACGCCCTCCTCTGCCTCCCAACATTTAGAACCTGGTGGCGGGAAGGGGTTAACAGTGTGTAGACATGTGCCATTTTGTTGTAGAGGGGAGCACTGCAAAACAAAACATTGTGACAAGTACGCAACCCTGTCCAGTTGCCTTTTGCAGCCTAAAGGGGAGGGGGTAAAAATACGGCACAGCCACTTGCTTTTTCCATCCCCTAACCATAAGTACATACAGTAAGTATAAAACATAGCCAATAGGTGAGGAAGAAGGTAGGTAGGTACCACTTTCAGTTGTGCTGAAAAAAAAAGAGCAATCACAGCAATGTCTCCTCCTTAATCAGATTGCCAAGTGTGTGGTTTCAATCAGACAAACAGAGCCTGAAAGCGGGCATTGTCTGCTGTTGTGTTTCATCAACAAAACCAAAGAGCTCAGAGAATCCTTTGTCATCTATTAAATGTTTATTTGTAAAACAAAAAAAGATAGAAAGAGTTTATATACCTATATATATATACTGTATATGTATACACACAACCCCTGGCCACTTTATTAGGTACACCTTGCTAGTGCCAACAAAATCTCCCCCACACCATGACACCACCACCACCAGCCTGAACCGTTGATACAAGGCAGGATGGATCCACCACACCATGACACCACCACCACCACCAGCCTGAACCGGTGATACAAGGCAGGATGGATCCACCACACCATGACACCACCAGCCTGAACCGGTGATACAAGGCAGGATGGATCCACCACACCATGACACCACCACCACCAGCCTGAACCGGTGATACAAGGCAGGATGGATCCACCACACCATGACACCACCACCACCAGCCTGAACCTTTGATACAAGGCAGGATGGATCCTCCACACCATGACACCACCAGCCTGAACCGGTGATACAAGGCAGGATGGATCCACCACACCATGACACCACCACCACCAGCCTGAACCGGTGTGATACAAGGCAGGATGGATCCACCACAACATGACACCACCACCACCAGCCTGAACCGGTGATACAAGGCAGGATGGATCCACCACACCATGACACCACCACCACCAGCCTGAACCGGTGATACAAGGCAGGATGGATCCACCACACCATGACACCACCACCAGCCTGAACCTTTGATACAAGGCAGGATGGATCCACCACACCATGACACCACCAGCCTGAACCGGTGATACAAGGCAGGATGGATCCACCACACCATGACACCACCACCACCAGCCTGAACCGGTGTGATACAAGGCAGGATGGATCCACCACAACATGACACCACCACCACCAGCCTGAACCGGTGATAAAAGGCAGGATGGATCCTCCACACCATGACACCACCACCACCAGCCTGAATCGTTGATACAAGGCAGGATGGATCCACCACACCATGACACCACCCCCACCAGCCTGAACCTTTGATACAAGGCAGGATGGATCCTCCACACCATGACACCACCACCACCATCCTGAACTGTTGATACAAGGCAGGATGGATCCTCCACACCATGACACCACCACCACCAGCCTGAACCTTTGATACAAGGCAGGATGGATCCTCCACACCATGACACCACCACCACCATCCTGAACTGTTGATACAAGGCAGGATGGATCCTCCACACCATGACACCACCACCACCAGCCTAAACCTTTGATACAAGGCAGGATGGATCCTCCACACCATTACACTACCACCACCATCCTGAACCGGTGATACAAGGCAGGATGGATCCATGCTTTCATGTTGTTTACGCCAAATTCTGACCCTACCATCTGAATGTCACAGCAACCAGTCTGCCCTTTCTCTTCTGACCTCTGACAACAAAAAGGCATTTTCGGCCAGACAACTGCCACTCACTGGATTTTTTCTCTTTTTTGGACCATTCTCTGTAAACCCTAGAGATGGTTGTGTATGAAAATCTCAGCAGATCATCAGTTTTTGAAATCCTCAGACCAGCCCATCTGGCACCAACAACCATGCCATGTTTAAAGTCATTTGAATCCCCTTTCTTCCCCATTTTGATGCTTGGTTTGAACTTCAGCAAGTTGTCTTCACGTCAGCCATGTGATTGGCTGATTAGCAATTTGTCTTACCAAGCAATTGAACAGGTGTACCTAATAAAGTGGCCTTATGCAGGCCATACATGGGTTGAATTCGGAACAAATTTTCTGTAGAAAATCTGAATTTTCATGCATTTTGTAATCCAATGGTGCCACCATTGATTTCGAAATTTGCCAACCAAGCCTTCAATTTCACCTCATGTTGCTACAGAAGAGAATTTTCGTGGCCAAGAATTTGCTTTTCTTTCCAGGTCACAGCTCAGGCTCATGTCTTTTTCATTTATATTTCTCGCACAATTCTCCCAACATTGATTTGAAATTTGTTCGTTTTTCAAAAAATTTCCAACATGCCCGATTACTCAGATTCCATGGTCTCACAAAAATTGGCCATTTCTGTGACCTACTAATGGTTTGAAATTCGAACAAAAATTCTTTAGAAAATATTTTCAAAAGAAAATTATTTTGGAGTTTGAACCATATATAGCCAGCTTAATACTGTATAGAGGAAGAGAGAGATGGGGCTGGACCAAAGACAGCAGCCAGGTTGCCAGTGCACCTAACCTTTGGCTCCTAAAAAAATCCTAGCTCCTTGACTGGACAGTATTGTTCCTGAGGTCCATATAAATTTCCACCCCTGGACTTTGACTATGAAAATGGAGATTTTGAAATCTGGTGGAAGGAAAGAAAAATGCATAATCTATGGCCTGCAAAAGCATGATTGATGAGTGTGTAGTGGTGGAGTGTTTAGGAGTTATCTCAAGACAGGGAAGAGTGTGTGTGGAGACAGAGAGGGAGATCTGTAACTGCTGGGGGCAGATGACACTCATCATTCTCAACTATGTCCTCCAGGCAGAGGTCAAACTAACCGAGAAATAGTTCCCTGAAAGGATTAGGTGCCTGTACACTCAGGGGCCAGGGCACAAGTCCAAGATTAATAAAGAACGAGGTGAATGTAGGCCCTGTAATAAAATGATAGACTATGGGGTCTACTTGTTGAAGGTCAAACGACCACAACATGCAATCTGACTTTAGTCCATACTGCAGAACTGTCATACTAGTCCTTCTTTCACAGCCCTGGTATGCACACACTTGTTCCACATCAGGGACTCCTCAAGTGAACAGCATGAAAAACCTTGAAGCTTACGTTTTAAAAAAAAAAAAAGTCAACAAGGACATCTACTGCATTTCTACAGTTGTCCAGCTTGAACATTTACTGCAATATTTGCAAACTGAGAATCCATTGTTGACTCAATGTGGGTACCATTTGGGTTATCCCCAGGTGCCCCCAGCACAGGACCCAGTTTACTCTGGATCAGGGTCATGAGTTGACAGGGTGCAGGCAACTATGTCCTCCAGGCAGAGGTCAAACTAACCGAGAAATAGTTCCCTGAAAGGATTAGGTGCCTGTACACTCAGGGGCCAGGGCACAAGTCCAAGATTAATAAAGAGCGAGGTAAATGTGGGGCCCTGTAATAAAATGTTAGACTTTGGGGTTTACTTGTTGAAGGTCAAACAACCACAACATGTAGTCTGACTTTAGTCCATACCGCAGAACTGTCATACTTATCCTTTATTGAAAAAAGTTGGTCTAGAACGATAATTAAATCTATCTTACACCAAAACAGGGGCTCATAGATTTTAAGCAGCTACCTCCTCATCACTCATGGTACCAGAACATTCTCACCTGCATCTCGTCCAGGGGTCCCAGGCATACAAAACCATCCATAACCATCCATAACCAAGAGAAAAAAAAAAAAAAAAAAACAGTGCCTATCAAATGAAAGCTTACTTATGAAGAGGCCCCCAAGTTCTAAGCCTTGTAAAGATGTACTAAGTACACAACATGCAACCGGAGCAAGCGTGCTAAATATTGCGCCTGCTAATGATCTACGGACTGCATTACATTTAAAATGTAGTTAGTTATTAATAGACAAGCAAGAGAGAGATTGTCACTTAAGTGCTACCTAAGTTGTCACATTGTCACACAGCATTAACAAGGAGCCCACCCTCCTTACAATTAGTGGCCGCTCAGTCAATGGGAGGGGGGGGGTTGGTTGAGTGCCTGGACTCCACATGCCACCAATGGGAATGATACTTGGCATTATACCTCTAATAATAGAAGCAGACCTTCGTACGGCTAACCCCCTCCTAGCCGCTGGCCAGCCTCTAATGCCGCACAGATATTATATTTATATAAGCAGGCTAATGGCTGCAGCTGTTCGCAGCGATGACCTTGAGATTCTGACAATAGCCACCGACAGCTGCCACCCCCTTTTCCCCTGGCACCAGGGATGGGCGGAGTGCGTTTGGCGAAATTGACCTCGCGGCAAAAATGAACGATCCTGCCCGCATGGAAGAAAAATATATTTGAAATATATATTAAAAATATTCTTCCCAAATATATTGCCGTATATTTGAAATGCTGCAATTTTGCCCATATTCAAATATATTTCAAAATATATTTCAATAAATATATATACACACACACATATATATATATTTACTGCATGTTGAAATGCATTTTTATTACAAAAATATGAAAAATATTTTTGAAAATACATTTCAAATATACAGTATGTCTTTAAAAATACAAATCTACATTTTTGGAATGCATTTACAAATATATGTAAAAATATATATGTTACAATTACTTTTTTATATGTTAAAACAAATCTGAAAAATATATTTAAATAATATATATATTTTTTTAAAATATATATTTTTTAAATATATTCTTCAGATTTTTTTTAACATATAAAAAAGTCATTTTAACATATATTTTTACATATAGTTGTAAATGCATTCCAAAAATATAGAGTTGTATTTTTAAAGACCTGCAGTATATTTGAAATGTATTTTTAAAAATATTTTTCATATTTTTGTAATAAAAATGCATTTCAACATGCAGTGTGTATGTATATATATATATATATATATATATATATATATATATATATATATATATATATATATATAGTATGTTTTTACTGTATATTTATTTAATTATTTTTAAATATATGGAATATGGCCAAAAATTGTAGTATTTCAAATATATGTCAATATATTTGGGAAGAATATTTTTAAAATGTATTTCAAATATATTTTTCTTCCATGTGGGTCAACTTTTTTTTTTTTTAAAGTGGAATTTGTTTTTTTTTGCTGGGTAGAATAAAAATTTGTTTTTTTTTGCTGGGTAGAATAAAAATGCAAAATGCGGCAAAAATGCACTACCATGCATTTCAGCAGCTTCTCAATTGAACTCTATCGTAGCAAAAATGTTGCTTTTTTGTTTTTAAAAAAGTCCCTGACCCTTTCCAAAAAATGCAGCAGCTCAACAAAGCATCGATGTGAACATGTTCCATAGGAAGCCAGGTTAAATGGACTGTAGTGCGTTTCTGCACAAAGCACTAAAAAAAGCATTGGTGTGAACGGAGCCTGAGGCTCTCACTTTCAGCACAGTACACTTCGCCCTCTGAACAAGCACAGCTGTGACTGCATGGAGAATGAGTGACAGCCTGCCAGCAATGCTGAGCGTGTGTGGCAGGGCTGGTGTTAATACGTGAGCAGAGCCAGGGGCTGATAACAATGAATTCTTCTGTCCCATGGGGGGAATCTCTCTGTCAGGCTTCCTTTTATAGTAACACAGCTTCCACTCCTTACATATAAGAGGGACCAGAGTGACCACCCCTGGCTCTGTCATTCCAGTCCTCTTCTCCTTCTCACCCCCAAGCCGTCCTCACTCGCACCATCATGGCCCCCAAGAAGCCTGAACCAAAAAAGGATGCCCCTAAGCCGGCAGCTGCACCTGAACCCCCTGCCCCAGAGCCCCCAAAGGAGATTCTCTTTGACCCCAAGAGTATCACGGTGAGTACTGATGAACGAAGGGTGATGAGGATACTCGGGCAATTCTGGAGTTACCATCGCTGTCTGATTTTTAGGGCTTTAAGATTAGAATGAGCAAAGCCATTTCAGATCAATTGATTTCCCAACAAAATTTCCAGTTTCCCTGTGGCACGTTTTCCAAAAATCTCAATTTCGCTCATGCTTTTGCTTGAAAAGCAAAAAAAGAAAATTGACTTTTTCAAATTAAAAGGTGTGGGGTTTTTTTTTTTTTGGAGGGGGGCTTATTTAATTAATTTTTTTTATTATTATTTTACATTTTTATTACTATTATTATTATTATTATTATTATTCATTGTGTTTGTGTTTTCCTTTTTTATGTGCATGTGATCATTATTTGTGCACTATCATTTTAGTTTTTTATCACTGTTTTCTTTCTGTTAATTTTTTTTCTTTTATTATTATTATTATTATACAGGATTTATATAGCGCCAACAGTTTGCTCAGCACTTTACAATATAATGGGAGACAATCAAGGGCGGACTGACCATTTGGAAACTCGGGCACTGCCCGAGGGCCCGGGGTCAGTAGGTAGCCCCATGAGAGGCCCCTGGTACCTTTTTCATAGGCCTTTTTGAGTTTGGGAAAGAACACAGGGGCCCCATGATCCCCTATTTCCCAAGGGCCCCATGAGTTGTCAGTCCGCCCCTGGAGACAATACAGCAACGTCCTGCTTCTTGGAGCTTACAATCTTTTTTACACAAGTGCAAGTGCAGGATAGCTTGATGGAACTTCTGTAACCCACAGGCGTTAAAGTTCACTGAATACTAAAAAATAAAAAAAAAAAAAAACACCAAAAGCCACCTTCACTTTGCCTTCTCTGTTGACTCCAATGCATCTTACTAAAAACCTTTGCTACAATCACCAAGTTTCCAATTATACCAATGATATTTTGGAGAAACGACAACTCTCAATATCTCTCATTGCTATTTGAGATCTGTCTCTGGTTTTACCATTAATATTTTAATATATTATTATTATTATTTTATTATATATTATTATATTATTATATTTATATATATATATATTTTTTTTATTTCTATTTTTTTTATATATATATATATATATGTTAGATTCCATCCTCACCATCCGTTAAGGTGCTGAGGGCTGATAGTTACCGATATTTAAATTTTTCTTGGAGACTGTTTGCTGTTTGGGACACACAAGTCTGTAAAGGGACCAAGGAAATGAAGTTCCTACAGGTTCCCATTACATCATTTGTAATATAAGGCTGGTTGCACAAACACAGAAATAAAAAAATTGACTACATCCCACATCGCCTTACTGTATTGGGTGCCCTTCAAAATGATGGTGTTAACACAACATGGAAGTGTGATTTTTACATTTAGGTGTATAGGTGGTCAAAACAAAAAGAAGAATTAAACATGACCTCTCTGTCTTTCCATCATGCATTCTTTCACACTGATCTCACAATCTGTTCTGCATGTTGGGGGCTGGTGACAACATGCACAGAATTAGTGTCCCGAATGATGGGATCAGAAGGTCCCGAATGAAGATTAGAGAAGTATGAACCTATACATGAGAGGCTAGAACCAGAGCATATACAGACATACAGGAATGTGGCACTGGTGGGAGGAAATTCCAGGCTTATCAAGAAACAACTTGCTTTACTATATATAACATTTGTTGGGTCTTACTTTGTCACTTTGATGCTGACATGACAGCTGTACATATGGATATGTCTGCATGGTAGTGAGCATTGATACTATAACTATCAGTAGGAAAAAATGGGAAAAAAATATAGGTAAAAGAATGGAGAAAAATATAGGAAAAAATGGAGAAATACAATAAATAGAGATATTCAGAGGATAGCCCTAGTTTCATTATTATTTTAACATAATAATAACAATAAATAATAATAAACAATAAATCAATGACTGAAGCGTAGCCTATAACTAGAAAAAAAATGTTTTTGTAACCTGTACAGGGTTTTGTACAGGGTATTTACAGCCCAAACAGTGTTACTATTAATATGTTTATTATTATTATTATTATTATTATTATTATTATTATTATTAATAATAATAATAATAATAATATATATATATATATATATATATATTATTATTATTATACAGGATTTATATAGCGCCAACAGTTTGCTCAGCGCTTTACATTATAGTGGGAGACAATACAGTAACAATACAGTTCAATACAAGAGGGATTTGAGGGCCCTGCTCCTTGGAGCTTACAATCTAGGAGGGAGGGGTGACTGGTACAGTAGGTAGTCACTGTGGGGGATGGAGTGGTTGGAAATTGGAGGATTCCAGAATTAGCAGAGGGTGGGATAGGCTTCTACATATATACATACACTTATTACTATTATTATTATTATGACTCAAAGTGGCTAAAACCCAACTGTGCTATTTTTTTTTCATCATATGGTCACCCAGGTTGTGTTAAAAAAAAAAAGCAGACTGTACTCATCTCCTCTCTGGAGGCTTTTTCTTTTCCTTTTCCCAACCCACATGGAAGAAAAATATATTTAAAAAATATTCTTCTCAAATATAATGATATATATTTGATATATATTTGAATTACTACAATTTTGACCGTATTCAATAAATTTCAAAATACATTTTTATATATATATATATATATATATATATATATATATATAGTATGTTTTTATTACAAAATATATGAAAAATATATATTTTTGTTTAATTTTCAAATATACTGTATGTCTTTAAAAGTATATTAAATCTACATTTTTGGAATGCATTTACAAATATATGTAAAAATATATGTTAAAATTACTTTTTTATATGTAAAAAAAAAAAATCTGAAGAATATATTTAAAAAATATATATTTTTCAAAATAGTTTTGAAATATTTTGTAATATATATATATATATATATATATATATATAAAAACGTATTTCAATATTGAAATATATTTTGAAATATATTGAATATGGCCAAAATTGTAGTATTTCAAATATATTTTGGAAGAATATTTAAAAAATATATTTTCAAAATATATTTTTCTTCCATGAGGGAAGAGAAACCTGAAGGAGGACCCAGTGCAGCACATCCCCATCTTCATGAATTTGGAAAAAATACATATATACAAAAACAACAAGACATACAACATACATGGGAACTGGAGAAGGACTGAATTGAGCTTTAAACAAGGGTCAGCTGTAGCTACGTATGTTGGGTCCCTGTAACAAAACCAATAGGGGCCCCCTATCTCTCCAATCTTTATCTCAAAGCCAGTTCCTCCAACAGGACTGAACCAGAGAAATCTTATCATGTATATCTAGAGGCTGGAATTGCTTGCAATGCTCAGCCTAATTTTACTTAGACTATAGTCAAGAAAGATGTCATGAAGAGGAAAGACCATTGACACAGAAAGTGCTTACTAGCTAGCACATCATCACATAACGAATCAAATAGTCAGCGTGCACTAATCCTGCTGCTGATTGATGCCAATTACACTTCCAGAAACAGAGAAACTATTACCGCTGCACCAAGAGAGAAATTCCATGTAACCTATCACTTTAGACTTAGCAAAGGAGGTGCACTTAGGAGGGGCAATTGACTGAAGTGCTTAAGCAATCCATGTCCCCTGCCAGCAAAGGAACCTAATGAAAGGGTTTGTAAAGTCAAGATATTGCTTTTTTTTGGTTTTGGATATAATGTGGAAGTGTTAGAACCCATGTCAGGTTTTTGATGAGAAGATTAACACTCTTTGTCCAGGTGACCAGTGTTTTCAATATAGAAAGTAATGGAAATCCAAAAATGTGGAGATGTCACAGGTAAAGGAGGTGGAAGGAAATCTTCCAGTTGGGGGAAACTGTTCTGGCGACAACTGTCCTTGAAGAGAGTAGGATCTCCTCTTATTTCCCGTTGTGTCCCTGGGAAGTCTCCCCCAAAGGGGCACAGACAACAAAAATATTCCCTCTAAACTGTCTGTACAAAAGTGTCAGCCAACACAATGCTTGTATCCAAAGCCTCCCTTGTACAACTCAAGAAACTGATATTTTAGCTCTATGTCAAGCCTGGTTGCCTGAGTTAGCCCCTAGCTTCTTTTTTGTATCTTAAATCACGGGTATCCAACTGGCGGCCCTCCAGCTGTTGCCAAACTACAAGTCCCATGAGGCATTGCAAGATTGACAGTTACAAGCATGACTCCCAAAGGCAGAGGCATGATGGGACTTGTAGTTTTGCAACAGCTGGAGGGCCACCAGTTTGACACCGCTGTATTAAATTCTTCAACAGTGAGATCTCCCTATCATAACTCCGGACTCTGCTCCTATCCACCTAGGATTTTAGGGTGTCCCCACCCAACTTTGTGTGTTTCAGCTCCTTTTAGTACATTCTCCATAGTATAAACTAAACATCCAGTAGGAAGAGGGGTGTTTTTTATAATGGGCACAGGCAAGCTGGGGTAGATAACAGGGAGCAATGTTAAAATATGTTGATGACAGTCAACTGATGGACCTATGATGTTGACCTACTGTTTCCACTGAGGGTCTGATATAACCTACCTTGACGCCGAAGAACTCACTCCCCCTTCCCTACTCCATTTCCTATTCCTTTTACGTTAACACTTATAATTTATAGCTGTTAGGGTTTCTAATATTTATACATTTCTGATTCAGTTATTGTTTAAGGTCTTACAGGTATTTTGTCTATTGCTCTTCACTGATGTCACCCCAATGTAACGGACTGCTATGCTGTATTCCTGTTTAATGTGATATCAGTGTGTATCCAATTGCCTGTGTACTCTGATTTATGATAAAGATATTGGACAAGAAAACCATATTGATCTGAGATAGCGTTTTCTCATCATCTAATACACGGGTGTCCAACTGGCGGCCATTCAGCTGTTTACAAACTACAAGTCCCAAGAGGCATTGCAAGATTGACAGTTACAAGCCTGACTCCCAAAGGTAGAGGCATGATGGGACTTTCGCCGCCAGTTTGACACCCCTGACCCTAATACAATCAACTAACAGTCAATACTTTCTTTTATCTGCAGATCGAGTACTCCTCTGACCAGATTGAAGGCAAGTCCTTTTTACATTTGAATAAGTATTTGCAACTGCACCCTTTGGCATCCTCCAGCTTTGGGTTCATCTATATTATAAAAATTAATTATCCGTTCTATAACTCTTTAGAAGGTTCTCCGTTATATAAAATTAGATATAAAGGCCAAAGGGAGAATAGGGCCCCTTCATAACAGCAGTACTGCAGCAGTGTGTTAATATTAAGGTACAGTAATATTTCAGTCACCAGCAAGTGGCGGGCTTCATGAGAAAAGCAACTTCCGGAGTAACCTCCAAAATGTCTCTTATTAATATTCCTTTGAGAAAAAAAAAGTCTCAGGGCCAATTTGAATCTCAGTGTCTGCAAAGAGGTTCGCTATTTTAGCATTAGGCAGGTATGTTCTAATGTATCAATGTCTGCTTCCTTTGTGTGTTGACTTACTTTAAAATTCCAAAAGTTTTTTTCAACCTTTTAAAGTATTCAACTTTTCATGGTGATTCTGCCTAGAAGGTCCTTGTTCAGGCAATTCCTGGTATAGGGTGACAACTGCATTGTCACCCTGTCAACAAGGAACAGAGGGCACACTGGCCTTGCACATTACATTTGTGATAGATTTACTGTATGAACAAAATAAATTCTACTCACAAATAACTCAAGAATAAAGGCACATCAATGTTCCCAATTCACTCAAGATGACCTAGTCTCCTAAGCAAGTCCCAACCACAGGAGGGCCATCCAAAACTATTGCGTTTCGAGAGGGGGTCCCCTCTTCCTCAGAACCAATGGCACAAAGGTAATGTGCACCCTCTGTTCCTTGTTTTCTAGTACTTGTCCTGGGTTCCTCAGCCCTTAGAGGGCAGCAAGGCCTGTGCCAGCCTCAAAACAGCCAAGAACCTGAGATCCACCATGTACTGGCGTACTGCTGTTGAGCGCAGGAGATTGTTCATCTTTGTTCTTTTTGTGTGAGAGATTGCAAGCTGCCATGCCAACACAAATTGCATTGACATAGGTGGAGAAGATCAGCAGCACTGAGATTCCAAAAATCTGTAAAAAAGGCTGATAAAATGTTATTTAATTTGTGTAATTTAAGTGTTCATATTACATGGTGCTCAAGCTAACTGATTTCACCCAGTTAAACTATAGATCTGTGTTAATTATGGATACTGGAGCATAGCAAAAATAATGACACAGCCGTGACAGACAAATCTCCAGCATTGTCTGGGGATTATAGGGCTAATGAAGAGCCTGGAATGAATAGAATGCCCCATGGAATAATTCTAACTCATGTATAATGTGTATTACAGTAACATGATACCATAGTGTCTAACTGCGTAGAGAGTGATACCTTCCAGCTGTCTAGGATATTCCATTGAGGTCATAATGTTGATATAATGCCACTTGTTTTCCTAGAGTACAGTCCTTAAAAGAACTGAAAATAGGTATTAAAGTTTATATATACTTAAAAGAGAGAGGCCAGGTCTCCTTGAAAACCCACTTACTACCAAAATGAATGGACCATTCATCTGCTGGAGATGGTGTGGGTAGAAATAATGTGAAATCTCCATGTCAGACAGTGTCAGAGCTTACACAGGGTTAATGATGTTCTCCCCTCCCTCACACAAATTGTTTAGACCTGGTGATTGGTTGCCCTAGCTTAAGCATTACATCCTGGGAAGAATGAAAGGATACTCAGAAGCGTTGGCTATTTTAGATGGCTCTAACAGATTAATGAAACAGCGGAGGAGAGTAATGATGTTGAGTAATGGGGGGAGGGTAGGGTTTTGAAGTTGAGCTTTCAAAAGAACATGTCCCGTTAGCATGAAAAGGCAACATTAGAGATTATCTTCCAAAAAGCATGCCAACATTTTGAAAGTAGAACCCATGATGGAGCCTTGTCCTACTAGGTCCAAATTTTCCCACTGTCCAATCCACTGCTTTATACCTCTGAAAACCAGACATTTCTAGGTATGAGGAGCACAATACACCTCTTCTCCAGCTGCCTCTTGCAGCTTAGCAGCCATTCCCAGGACCACGTTTTATTAAACATGGAAGGAAGAAGCTTACTTAGGCTTGGGGAAGGTCTACTATTAGAAAGTCAAACCTTGGACAGGAATTATTTTGGGGGCTATGATGCAGAGGAGCATGGAAACGGTAACCACCTACAGCCACTATTCAATATAGAAACTGTATTTGAGATATTATCATGAGTTGTTATATTTTTCACTTTCCTTATTGCCAGAATTCAAAGAGGCCTTCCAGCTGTTTGATCGTACCCCCACAGGAGAGATGAAGATCACACTATGGACAATGCGGAGATGTACTAAGGGCTCTGGGACAGAATCCCACCAATGCAGAGGTGATGAAGGTCTTGGGAAGACCCAAAACAGAGGGTGAGTTGTTTTCTATCGATGGCAAGTGACTGTCAGAACAAACCTTCCATAATCCCCCTGTGGCACAATTTTTGGGTCAATGCATAGACATTCACACTATTATTGATCTATTGCACTTAATTCTTGGTGTCAGTTTTGTATAGCAATCAAGCAAAAATAATTAAACCAACAAAATAACTAAAGAGCTGAGACAGAAGTATTGTCATCTGAGGGATCTTTAAGAATTTCCATGATCACTTGACTATTTAGCTGAGTTGTCTCTTGAAAATGGTTGTAGCTCTTTGTGAATGATACTGTGATGATGCTGAGACATCCATTGACTGGAAAAGTGTGATTCAGTTGTCATTTCAGTACATATTTGAAAAATGAACAGGAGTTTTGTTTTTTTTCTTTGTACAATAGATCTAGCTGGACAAAAATATAAAACAAGAAAAATTATCTGGAAACATTTCATGAGATAAATTAGCCAGAAGCAAAATAAAGTTGTAGTTAAAAGGGTTATTTCACCGTTTTTTTTTAAAAGGTGAAATAACAGTTTTAACTACAAATTTATTTTGCTTCTAGCTAATTTATCTCATGAAATGTTTCCAGATAATTTTTCTTGTTTTATATTTTTGTCCAGCTAGAACCATTGTACAAAAAAACAGAACTGTTAATTTTTCAAATATGTGACTGAAATGACAAGTGAAGCACACTATGCTTTCCATAAACCCCATTCCAAAACCCTGTACTAATCAGCACTCCAGGATTTTTTTTTTTACGATTGATCTAGTTTGGTTACATTTAATTCTTCATCTCTCACAACCGGAGGGCAGCTGGGGATGCAGAAGTAGTAGTAGTTTGTGCTACATACAATTAGTGCTGGTCTTTTTAGCTTTCTTTGAGCGACCTGCCCTTCTGAACACAGGGGGTCACTCACTTGACAACCCCACCATTCAGAGAGCGTCTTGTATTTTTTCAATGAATACAAGGCGCTCTCTGATTGGACAGGGTGGAGAGGAAGGACGGACAATGTCTCCACCTTGTTCAATCAAAGAGTGCCTTCTATTCATTGAAAAAATACAGGACATTCTTTGCAGAGTAAGCAACCATGTTCAGAATACAGATGGAAACTCACTCAGGACCTGGAAGAGAGCAAACCTGACTGTATGTAGTACAGGCTACATCCCCAGCAAACCTGTGAGCAGGGGTGGACTGAGAACTCATGGGGCCCCCGGGCAATAGGGGATGATGGGGCCCCTGTGTCCTTGCCCAAACTCAAAAAAGCCTATGAGAAAGGTACCAGGGGCATCTCATGGGGCCCCCTACTAACCCCGGGCCCTCGGGCAGTGCCCGAGTTTCCAAATGGTCAGTCCGCCCCTGCCTGTGAGATATGAAGAATTAGATGTAACCAAGTTGGAACAATGTAAATTAAAAAAAAAGATAATTTCTGGAGTTCAGGTCTAAGCAAACAGAAAGCCATGTGTTTGAATGGAGCTTTATATATCACAGCCATAGAATGGCCAACAAGGAACGGCACAAGACAATCTACCATATAAATAGTATTGCTTATGTAAAATGATATGCAGGTCCCAAGGGTTTCTGGCTCAATGTGACATACCTTCTATGTTGAACAAACACTCAGCCTGGCCCACCTGGCATTAGGGCTCTTTCTATTTCAGCGACAGGGATTAAGGTCCCTTGAGGCCCAAGCACAGGGTAGGGGTGGGCATGACGCCGAGAGGACTCAAAGAATTGTGGGTAATTCACCCAGCCTATTTGTGGGGGTCTGATCACCGCTATACTCAGAGGAATTAAATTCCCAGTATTAACAGTACAGACCAGGCCCATACCATGAACGGCATTACATTCCCAATGGGGACCCAGGGGAGGGCAAGTGACATTTCAGTAAGCTATGGTATGTGTGCTATTATCTGTGAATGCAGTCAATGCCGGGTCACAGAAAATCTTAAGAGCCGAGGCCGCAAATGGTCACTTCTAAGACTTTAGATTTAGTGACTTAATACACAAAGTCTGCCAGTTGTCTGGCTCTAGATCCCGGTCGGATATACAATACTCTAAAGCATATTCAGAATACAATACTGCTTAAATCATAGCACAATAAAGGACTGCATCAATCTCTCATAGCAAGGACTATAGAAGAAGTGGATCAAGGCCAAGACAACTGCCTTAAGGCAAACCCGTAATGAGAGAAACACTGGCAGCCATTGGCAAAGTCTCCTTTTGGAAATGCTAATTGCCTGGCTGTCACACCAATGACTGTCACTGACCCAAAATTACATCTTTATACTTGTTCAAGATCAGTGGTTCAGAAAATATTACATCTACAGCTGATGCTAATTTTCAGAATCTTTCACTGGCTTTTTAATTCTTTTGTGGAATCCCTCAACATGGGTTTTCTGCTCCTCTCACCTGCTACAACCATTAAAAGAAGATCTCACTATTCTTCCTGAATGTTTAAGTTTTAATTTCATTTACAGAAAGTGCAGCAAGGGGATGGAGACTCCTCCCAATGCAGTAGGGGGAAGAAAATTTACAAATATACAAAATACACTGCAACAATTTCAGACAAAACATATGGTATACTGTATACACATATATATATATATATATATATATACACACACACACATATATATATATATATATATATATACACACATATATATATATATTAATTATTATTATTTTTTAATATGGGAAAAGTTTCCATTGCCGTCTGTCTTCCCTTTAGGAAGATCTCCCTCACTTTCTGTCCGGGTGATCAAAGAATAAATAGGAAGATCTGCCTATTGGGAACACGAAAAGCAATAGAAACCCACCAGAGGTGCTTACCTCTCTCCTGTACCATGTGGCTAGGCTGTGTGTCTCTGTAATGTGTGTTCGGTCCCGGTTGCTATGGGAAACTGTCCCTGGGGAGGGGGCCAGAACACCGACATCCTCGCTACCAGAGAACAACTCACCTTACCAGTTACCATGCTTAATGACAAGCTGCTGAAAAACTTTACACCGGTCCTTGGTTACCAGTGGCAACTACTCTCTCTTCCTTCACTCTTGATGCCAAGTTAGACCCTGGTAACAGACTCACTTCACACCCCATATGTGCTTTAACTGACCCAAGTTCTTGTGATTGCCATTAACCGTCATGCACCCCTTTGAGTAAATTTAGACCAGGCTTTTACCAAACTTTACTCAAACACAGTTGAGTACAAAAGAATCCCTCACTAACTATTCTGACTTGTGGCTGCCCAGGCATACCTTACATAGGTGACAGTCTATAACCTGGGTGGAAGCTCATAGTGTGGCAGTCTCCTTTAAGCCGGTGCCTTCGGGCTGACTGTGTGTCCCAGCAGTCCCCCTTCATAGAATGGTGTCACAGCATCTCAAGCAGGCAGGTTGGAGAATGAACGACCTGGGAGCTCCTGGGTGGTTGCTGTCTGTAAAGGGTTACATCTTCCTCTGTAAGCCTCTTGCTTCAAACAAACAAAATAAAAAAAAAAAGGGTTTTGGCTGGAACTGTACTTTAGGTCACAAAAAAATAATGAAGAAAAATAAGCCACTGGCGATTTAACTTACCAGCATTCACCCAACAGCAAAAAAAATCTGTTTTGGGAAGCCTATATTTTTATCTCATTAATGAAAATGTATTTATTGATAATTAAGAGGTACTAGTGATTAGTAGCAAGTTAACCTTGGACTTCTGTTTCTGAATTTCAGAATTAAATACCAAACTCTTGGACTTTGATACCTTCCTTCCAATGCTCCAGCACATCTCCAAAAGTAAAGACCAGGGATCTTTTGAGGACTTTGTGGAAGGACTTCGTGTCTTTGACAAAGAGAGCAATGGCACTGTAATGGGAGCAGAATTGCGTCACGTTTTGGCCACTTTGGGTGAGTCACAGCATCTTGCCTCTTCATAATAAAAGGACAAAAATTGGAGTGTTTCATAGTTACATAGTTAGTCTGGCTGAAAAAAGACAAAAGTCCATCCAGTTCAACCATTAAAAAAAAAAAGTTATAATCCTATACGAGGAAAGACAAAACAGAGGGCGCACAGGCCTAGTGCATTACCATAAAAAATGTTTAATAAAAAATAAAGTACAGTTGTGGCCAAAATTATTCAACCCCCACTGAAATTGAGTGTTTTGGCCAGTTTGACATTGCTTTTGATCATTCAGTCATCTTGCTTACATTTACATTAAAAGAGGCACTTGTAGGTCAGACAAATATAACATAACAGTTATAATGAAATAACCACAAATGTCTTTTCTGTGCTCACAGCATTATCAGTTTTATTCAACCCCCAAGTGACATTCAATCTTAGTACTTAGTACAGCATCCTTTTACAGTTATAACAGCTTTTAAACGTGAAGCATAGCTTGACACAAGTGTCTTGCAGCGATCTACGGGTATCTTCGCCCATTCTTCATGGGCAAAGGCCTCCAGTTCAGTCACATTCTTAGGCTTGCGCACTGCAACTGCTTTCTTTAAGTCCCACCAGAGGTTCTCAATCGGATTTAAGTCTGGTGACTGCGATGGCCACTCCAAAATGTTCCAGCCTTTCCTCTGCAACCATGCTCTAGTGGACTTGGAGGTATGCTTGGGATCATTGTCCTGTTGAAAGGTCCAACGTCTCCCAAGCCTCAGGTGTGTGACGGACTGCATCACGTTTCCATCCAATATCTCCTGGTACTGAAGAGAATTCATGGTACCTTGCACACGCTGAAGCTTCCCTGTACCTGCAGAAGCAAAACAGCCCCAAAGCATGATTGACCCTCCACCATGCTTCACAGTAGGCAAGGTGTTCTTTTCATCATAGGCCTTGTTCTTCCTCCTCCAAACATAGCGTTGATCCATGGGCCCAAACAGTTCTAATTTTGTTTCATCAGTCCACAGAACACTATCCCACAACTTTTGTGGTTTGTCCACATGGCTTTTGGCATACTGCAGTCGACTCTTCTTATTCTTTGGAGACAGCAAGGGGGTACGCCTGGGAGTTCTGGCACGGAGGCCTTCATTACGCAGTGTGCGTGCAGTTCTTGTGCGTCTTATTGTCTGGGCTGAAACTTCTGTACCCACATCTGACAAATCTTTTCTCAGTTTTACCTCAGCAGTCACACGGGGACTTCTCTCCACTCTACGCTTCAGGTAGCGCACAGCAGTCGAAGTCAGCATCTTCTTTCTGCCACGACCAGGTAGCGTTTCAACAGTGCCCTTTGCCTTGAATTTGGAAATGATGCTTCCTAAGCTCCTGGTGTCTCTTGTATGTTTAAAGGGTCTTTGCAATCTTATAGCCTCTTGCCCTTCCAAACAAGAGAAATCACCTCTTCTCTGGAACTGTCTTCCTGGACCATTCTCTTGCCTTCACCATGTTTGATAACCAGCATTCACCCAGTAAATGTCTAGAAGGAGCTGAGTATCACATTATTGAATGAGTCATTTTTAAAGCTGCCTAATTGGTGCTTATTATGCTTGATTGCTGCTCGGTGACATTTCACAGTGTTTTCAATACCAAAAGCTCCTGTACTGATACCTCCTTCCAATGTCCAGCACATTCAAAGTAAAGGTAGGGATCTTTAAGGGGTTTGAATAACTTGTGGCAATGAAAAGAAGCAATGGCACTGTAAGAACCATTTACTTTTGGCCACTGTAGTACATAAACATTGATGTCATTTTAGTTGAAATTTGGGTAGTTACAACGTTACCTTGTAGGATTTGATTCTGAAAACAATTCAAAAGTGTACACAACCATTAAAAAAAAAAAAAATCCTTTACAGCAAAACAGGGGGGCCTAGTGCAATAAAAAAATTTTGGCCAAAAATGTATGTGTTGTACTCACAAACGACAATATAGTCAAGGCACATCATAAAGAACAGCTGGGTCAACACCGCGCTGAGTAACAGTCCGCAATAGGGAGTTTAGACATCCAAAAGGCTGACGCGTTTCGAGGACTTGCCTCTTCCTCAGAGCCAACTGACCAAATGTCTGCTCCCTCTTTTATATGCTCACTACTAGGTAAACCAAAGGTCACATGGGTCATCCTGGACACTCCCCTGTGCAGGTGGAGGAGTCACAGGGGCAATTGACATAGTGTAAGTAAACACGAAAGGTCTATAAATATATATATATATATATATATATATATATATAAATAAAAAAACCATTGAAACTAGTGACAATCATAAAATCATATGAACCATAAGAAGTGTGCACAGTGAAAAATAAATAAATGGAAAGTTACACATATATATAAAAAAATAAAAATCCTTCCCTGGTGATGCACTGCACTGCTCACCTTTAAATAAATGGATGGATGGATGAGCAACGCTACGAAGCTGCCTAGTGTTCTGCTTGCCATAGACAACCATGGGACATGGATTTAATATAGAGAGTAGATCTGAAACCCAGCAGAGACACTTATAAATTCATAGAAATGCAGCCTACAGGGTGTGTGCTTATCATTCTAGTATAGTCATATGATGAAACGTAGGCATGTGTGGCAATGTGTGTGCACCATGGATGGATATGCATATGCGATACTATATACAAGAACAAAGGAGATAAATCACTAGTAAAACATAAATGTTGATATAAAACGTTACAGAAAACTTCTTAATATGGTTCACAAAGTTTAAATAAAATTTAAATTAAATAAGTATTGTTACAATATAGTATAATATCTGGTAAAATTGGTATAGTGTATGGTATATGTGTGTATGCATAGACATGGAAGCATAAGAAATATAAATATATAGGAAATTAAAGGAAAAAAAAAAAAAAGTTGATCCAGAGGAAGGCAAATTTGGTAAATGACAACTCAGTTTTTAGTTTGATACAAAGTGCCAATGCATTTCAGGAGTTTAAAATCACTTAATTCTTCAGGGTGTATGAAGAGGAACATGGCCAAGGACTTCTGATTGTAGAAAAGTCACTGCCTGCATGTAATGTGTGTTCTATTGGCACAGTCTGCAGATGATAGATGTAAGCAATCTGGTGGCAGACTGCTTGTAACTAATAAACCCCTAAACCATGTTAGAACTTTTTATCTTGGAACGTTTTGTCATATACTGGTTTTACTCACCACCATTTCTATGATGCTCCATGTTTCTCCTATCCAGGTTGCACCCAAGGTTTTCTGGTTGGACCATGGATTCCCATGGTTTGAAGGACAACCTTTCTAAAGATTTATCCACTTCTAAGACTTTAGAACACTTTAGCAGAATATAGCTCATCAGTAGTATCCAGTGACGCTTTTTTCCACATTGCCTATTGTTTGCCTTCTCATATCGGCCAACATCAGTCATGTCAATATATCCCCACTAGATGAAACCTGTGCTAAAGCTTGTATCCTTCAGAAACCTCCAAGGTTTTCTTTATCTCTGTCTCATGTAGGTGAGAAGCTACAAGAGAGTGAAGTGGAGCAGCTCCTAGCAGGGCAAGAAGATGCCAACGGCTGCATCAACTATGAAGGTAAACCACCACATACAGGCATGCCACTGCCCTAGTTTTTGTTTTGCTTTGGGTTGGTTATTGTTTCTGAATAAAAATAATTAACCTTATTTACCCATGCTTACTTTGTGTCTTACTCTTAAGCCAAGAGTCATGGTAAGGAGTCAACTTGCTGCTCCGTCAACTGCCTGACATCATGCTTATAATACAAATTGTAACAGCATTAAATAACAAAGTCCTGAAGGCACAGGACCCCCCAAGGATGAGAGAATGGATTAATAGGATAGAATATATATATAGGATGGAGGAGTTATTCCATATAGATGAAGATAAATTGGAAAAATTTAGAAAGGGCTGGAGTAAGTGGGATGCTTTTAAGACCTCAGAAAAATATTATGAGATAATGGGAGCCCCAGAAGTAGAGGTGGAGAAAGAAAAAGATTAGTTGGGAAAGTAGTAGGGATGGAATGGAATGTATAGCTCTGAATAAGGGAGGTAGACAGCCTTAGGAGAAGAAAGAAGAAATAAGGAAGATCTTAATGGACAGGGATGGGGAGTGGGGGGGGGGAATGAAGTATTATGAATAGATTGGAATTGGTTAATGTTAATGTGATTTATTTTGTACTGAAATTAAAATTAATAAAAGATATAAATAAAAAAATAACAGAGTCCCAAGGTTGTTTAGATTTCTATTAGAAAAGAAAACCTCTTAAAAAAAAGTCTGTAGAACAAGAACAATTGAAAACTGTGTGAGCACCTGGAGATGTACATGCCTGCAGCAGCCTCAAGAAGTCTACAGATACAGCCAAATTCCAGACCAAAGTGCATCAGCTTTTTGGTCCTATAAACAGTGCTCCTTTAAATGTGGGGCTCTTTTATTTGATACAAAAAATACTGCAGCGCTAACAACCTATACTAAAATACAAATGAGATAAATGGAAATATCACATATAGAATGCACAATAAATATTCATTGTTAGGTTCTCATAAAATGAATACTATGTGCAGCAGTCCATAAATGCCAATGATGATGAAAAATCACAGCAAAACTCCGTGAGGTGATCACAGTGCCACTCAGTGTGCGGTCAATCCACAGATGGCCAAGATGGCCCCTCACCTCCTTGATGCAACCCACTGGGCCAAACAGCTATGTAGGTGACCTTATACACCCAATAAGGTATCATCAAAGGATGGAACGTATGGATAGATCCCTCCAATATCTTCTCCTATCTCCTAGGTACTCGATTCCACAAAACCATTTAAGATACCATTAAAAACAAAGAAGTTCCTCCATAGTGTAATCCAGTTTTAATAATAACATGAATATAAATAAAATGCCCACTCACATGTAAAATGACAAAGATCAGCTTTTTCCCATATCATGGGTGTGTTTCCATGGTTCTCATGCTAAGAAATGCATGCAGCTCCACTTGCTCCACAATCCCTCCAGAAATGGCGCCGACGCCGGAAATTACGTCACCGCGCCACCGGAAATGATGTCAGTGCGTACCTAGTTTTATTTGATACTGTCATGCAAGCTTAGGAGCTGGAGGTTATCAGCAGGAGGTGGGCAGTTGATATGGTAATGACTATCAGACATCAGATGAATCCTCACTCCTGACTCACAGCTTAAAAGTCAGACACAAGTAAAGTAAATAAAAACACAGGTCAGTCTAATAAAGTAAGACTAATAATTCAATTACGGCAGCAGCCCTGTTGTAGATGATTCACTTTAAGACAGTCTAGCATATTTTACTAATACGTGTGTAAAAAAAGTGATACATTCATCTTATATTCATTTTTATTTTCTCTTAGCTTTCATTAAGCACATCATGTCAGGATGAAGAGACAATGCGGTATGTGTTCCCAAAGTCGCTACTTGGTTGCCTACTACTAACAATAACATTGCAGAGGGCGTGTGACACTTGTAACCCCTGGAACCTCTGATAATGCCTTTTTTATGCCCAGTGGGAATTTTCCTCCAAAAACCTACCTTCTGGCCTTAGCAACACTGTATGAAAATAACCAAGCCCTCTATGGTACCCATATAATTAATTTTCTTTTTTTTCACTCTGGATAAAGTGGAAAGGGGTCAGACCTTCTGTCAGGTTTCTGTTGTTTTCTGTGTTCCCACCAGGGGTGGACTGATCATTTGGGAACTCGGGCACTGCCCGAGGGCCCAGGGTCAGTAGGGGGACCCATGAGATGCCCCTGGTACCTTTTCATAGGCTTTTTTGGGTGTGGTTTGAGTGTGGGCAAGGACACAGGGGCCTCATGATCCCCTGTTGTCCGGGGCCCCAAGGGGTGTCAGTCCACCCCTGGTCCCCACAGAAGAAATTCACTCTCTCTCTTTGAGCTGGTGACAAAATTTTAGGGCTCTTATCTGAGCAAGAAGTGAGGAAAAATCCTCCATTAGAGACACCTATTCTGTGACAACTCTCTAAGAAGGGAATTCCACCCACTTCAGAAAGAACCCCCTTCTGTTCTGTTCTGTCTTCTTGATTGAGCCCTTAATGGGATGAAACGCATTGGGAAGGAGGTGGACAGTTGAGACTGTATGTCATGAGTCCTCGGCATCAGGGTGCAAGCTGTTCATTTCTACTTAACAAGTGGCACAGCTGAATGGGGCTGCCCTTTTGAACATGCACCTGATGGGAGCTGAAAGTACGGGGAAAAATGAGGTTTGGTGTGGCATAGCTACCATTTGATTCCAAAAACAGTCAACTTTAGAGTTTGAAACATCCATAGGGCACATTAGGTTCACACCAGGATAGCACAGAGTTATAAACATCCATAGGGTACATTAGGTTCTCACCAGTATATCATAGAGTTATAAACATCTGTAGGGTACATTAGAATATCTCCAATTTACCATAGAGTTATATACATCTGTAGGGTACATTAGGTTGCCACCAGTGTACTATAGAGTTATTAACATCTTTAGAGTACATTAGGTTCACACCAGGATAACACAGAGTTATAAACATCCATAGGGTACATTAGGTTCACACCAGGATAACACAGATTTATAAACATCAATAGGGTACATTAAGTTCTCACCAGTATATCACAGTGGTATAAACATTAGTAGGGTATATTAGGTTCCCATCAGTGTACTACAGAGTAGTAGGGTACATTAGAATACCTTCAACTTACCATAGAGTTATAAACATTAGTAGGGTACATTAGAATACCTCCAGTTTACCATAGAGGTATATACATTAGTAGGGTACATTAGAATACCTTCAACTTACCATAGAGTTATAAACATTAGTAGGGTACATTAGAATACCTCCAGTTTACCATAGAGTTATAAACATTAGTAGGGTACATTAGAATACCTCCAGTTTACCACAGAGGTATAAACATTAGTAGGGTACATTAGAATACCTCCAATTTACCACAGAGGTATAAACATTAGTAGGGTACATTAGAATACCTCCAATTTACCACAGAGGTATAAACATTAGTAGGGTACATTAGGTTCCCACCAGCGTACTATAGAGTTATAAGTATCTATAGGGTGCATTGGGCCCCCATGCAGTGTACCACAGACTTTAAACATCTTTAAGGTATACCAGGTTCCCAGCATCTACCCAAAAGGCTTTTTATAGTTAGAGTAAGCATTAAATACACATACAATTGTATTGAAAAGGCAATTAATCAAATATACTCCATGTTTTATAGGTTCCTTCAGATTTTCCCACAGTCCCAACTGCCCTACTGACCCTTCTGAGAAGAGCCAGAAGATGCATTACCCGAGCTGTCTGTAATATGCCTCTCCGACGTGGAAGTTCTGAAGTCCTTGTAAATAATCTCATCCTTTGTTGAAGTGCCATATGAGATTGTAAATTTATTTGGGACTTTTTTTCTCCAGTGGTGACTTTTCACCAAATAAATTTCACAGGAAAACAAGTTTGTGTCTTATAGTTAATTGTTTTTAGTAGTCCATTATAAGATGTAAGGTGCCCATACACTAAGAGCAATTGTTTGAGCAGTCTAGCAAGCAACCAATGTCTTTTGAATGGCAGATCCAGGAAACAGGTTAAAAGCAATTGTTCATTTGCTAATGGTATGAAGAAAACACCATGGCTGAGCCAATGTCAGAATGTTGGTTCAGTTTACCTAGTTCTCTGTAACCCTCCATACTTTGGTCTTCCAACATGCTAAGTACCAGGGCAATAGGATGCAACCTGTATGTTGTATATCAGCTGCACCATCAATCAGCCTCTGCTGATCATGAGAAGAGGGGTCCATCGGGCTTTTTGCCTAATGGACCTGAGTGTGCCTTATCCCCAAGTACCGTTCTCCTGGCAACTGTCAAACCCAGACACATCCATTGGATTGCCAGACAGAGAAGCGTGAATGGTCACTCCAGAGAACATGTCTCTACTGCTCTAGAGTTCAGTGGCACCGTGCTTTACACCACAGCATCTGACGCTTTGCATTGCACTTGGTGATGTAAGGCTTGGATGCAGCTGCTCGGCCATGGAAACCCATTACATGAAGCTCTCTACACACTGTTGTTGTGCTAATCTGAAGTCCACACAAAGTTTGGAGGTCTTTAGGTATTGACTCTGCAGACAGTTGGCGACTTCTGCTCACTGTGCGCTTCAGCCACTGACCCCACTCTGTCATTTTACGTGGCCTACCAATTAGTGGCTGAGTTGCTGTTGCTCCCAGTTGCTTCCACTTTGTTATAATCCCACTAACAGTTGAGCGTGGAATATTTAGTAGCCAGGAAATGTCACGGATGGACTTATTGCACAGGTGGCAACCTATCACGGGACCACGCTTGGAGTCACTGAGCTCCTGAGAGCGACCCATTCTTTCACAAATGTTTGTAGAAGCAGTCTGCATGCCTAGGTGATGATTTTATACACCTGTGGCCATTGAGGTGATTGGAACACCTGAATCCAATGATTTGGAGGGGGGTCCCAATACTTTTGGCAATATAGTGTATATGTATACATGCACACATGTAAAGCACTGTGTAAATTAATAAAATATAATATATAAGTACCTGTAATAATAATAATAAATAAAAAAGTGTAACTCAGTAAAAAAGTTTATAATAGAAGGCATCCTCTCATAACTGTTCCAGGAGAACCAGATTACCAACAAAAGGAAGTGGGATGGACCACTGTATTTAATTGAGTTTGGATCACACAGCTTTGATCGGAGTTCTTTGTGATCTGCTGCAGCTAGATGCCACAGAGCACCTCACAGGGTCCCTGGGTGTGTACATTCTGACACATGTTCAACTTCTTCTCTCTTTGCAACCTGTATCATTAATCACATTCAAATATCCGGTATACTTTGAAGATGTCTTGGCACTAGAAGAGGACTGGGAACAATTGGTCAGAAGGGGTGGGGTGGGGAATACAACCAAGTGGCCTTTTCATAGTAGACAGATTCCTGAGGGCTAAAGAAAATGTACCTTGCAAAGTGTGTGTGACATAGTGCCACAGATATTGGTGGGAATGGGTATGATGAAAGGTGCGTGCTCCTAAAAGACTTGATTTATCGTCACATACCTTTTCACATCTTCCAATGTGAACAAGGAGCAGGTGGCTACGTATAGAAAATCCACCATGACTGTTGATTGATGTCTGAATGGTGATTTAACTACACTTACAGTCATCAGTCCAACATTTCAAATGCTGAAAGATTTGTATTTCTGCTCATGCGGTCCTGAGATTTACACAGCCTGATCACACAGCACAGCCAGGAGGATGACATCACTTACAGTTAAGGAATACAGCGGTGATCTCTCTCCACTCCCAGCCTGTTGACTGGACTATTAAAGAGCATCAGCAGACTGGCAAGGTCATCTTCTGGTCCATCTCCTCCAATCAGTATTTTCCTTGCAACACATTTGCATGGAAAACACCTGTTTGGCTCCCGTTCACTGCCCTTCCTCTCCTAGTCTAAGTGCTGCTGTATAGGGGATAATAGAGTAGCATACCAAGTGTAGGTACTGACCACATACAACAAACTACACTTAAATTGATACTAAATCCAGGACCCTGCATTCACTATATCTGGTCTCTCTGGACCCTGCATTCACTATATCTGGTCTTCCCGGACCCTGCATTCACTATATCTGGTCTCCCGGACCCTGCATTCACTATATCCGGTCTCCCCGGACCCTGCATTCACTATATCCGCTTTCCCCGGACCCTGCATTCACTATATCCGCTCTCCCCGGACCCTGCATTCACTATATCTGGTCTCTCTGGACCCTGCATTCACTATATCTGGTCTCCCCGGACTCTCCCACTATATATGGTCTCCGTGGTGCCTGCATTCACTATATCCGCTCTCCCCGGACCCTGCATTCACTATATCTGGACTCCCAGGACCCTGCATTCACTATATCCGGTCTCCCCGGACCCTGCATTCACTATATCTGGTCTCCCAGGACCCTGCATTCACTATATCTGGTCTCCCCGGACCCTGCATTCACTATATCTGGTCTCCCCGGACCCTGCATTCACTATATCTGGTCTCCCCGGACACTGCATTCACTATATCTGGACTCCCAGGACCCTGAATTCACTATATCCGGTCTCCCCGGTCCCTGTGTTCACTATATCTGGTCTCCCAGGACCCTGCATTCACTATATCTGGTCTCCCCGGACCCTGCATTCACTATATCTGGTCTCCCCGTACCCTGCATTCACTATATCCGGTCTCCCTGGACACTGCGTTCACTATATCTGGACTCCCAGGACCCTGAATTCACTATATCCCCTCACCCCGGACCCTCATGCACATGGGACATTTTTACAATGGCTGTTTTTGGCTTTTGATGTTTTTTCCTACAGCCAATAAACCCACCAGCATGTTATCCTATGTGTCCATGCACACATAGACTGGAATCAACGTTTTTTGGCAGGGGCTTTTTTTGGTTGGAAAAAAAAATCAGAACTAGTGGGTTTCTAGAGGAGTTTTTTAGCTGTAAAAACACTCGAATGATGAAAAGACCGGCATTTTTGGACTTTTTAACCAAAAAAAAAAATATATTTTTGTTAAAAAACCCCACAAAATGCAAACGTGGAAAAACGCAGCAAATCGCCTCTAAATGCTAATGCAAAAACACTAAAAACACTGAAAAACATTTTTAACGTGACTTTACACAGCTAACGTTACCGGCGTTATTAAAACGCCCCGTGTGCATGGAGTCTTATTTGTTATTTTACTTTCCACAAAAGTGGAGTTACCCTTTAAATATGTATTAATGAATATGTAGCTATACTTTTTATATTTCAATATTTTTATTGAAAAACTGTAGAAAATGTACACAGAAAAATAGGAAAAATAGCCCACCTACATGGTGAGTTGTGGCAAATATATAGATTCATAGAGTATATAGGCACATAAAAATACATCAACCAATGACGGGGTAAACAAGAGAACACAACCCCAGTAGGGTAGAACATATTCCATCGGTCAGTAAACCTGGGCAGTTGCAGATAGTCATCTAACAAATTAAGGAGACTGAAAAAATTGAACAAAAAAATCAAAGGAGAGAGTAAAGAATACAACGGAAAAAAACAAAACAAAAAAAAAAAGAGAAAAAAGAAAGAAGGAGGAAGGAAAGAAAAGAGAGAGAAGAGAAGAGATAAGGCCAGCCATAAGTCCATTAGATAAGCTATACTTTTTATATCTATTATTGTTATTATTATTATACAGGATTTATATAGCACCGAAAGTTTGCTCAGCGCTGTACACTATGGTGGGAGACAGTACACGAGACAGTACAGTAACAATACAATTCAATACAAGAGGGATTCGAGGGCCCTGCTCCTTGGAGCTTACAATCTAGGAGGGAGGGGATAGAGGTACAAGAGGTAGTAACTGTGGGGGATATATCTACCTGGAGTTCAGCTCTAAAGTGTAATTCCAACCCACCCAGCAATAAAAAAGAGTGATTGATTTTTTTTTGACTGTATCCTAAAACAGACTCTAATAGTTTCGTAGGAGCTAAACTTTAGGAAGTCTTTATTGATTAAGATATTTAGAGATAATTAATGGAGCTGTCCTTTAAGAATAAGGACTTCATACTGAAAGTTTCCCTAGTTTACTGAAGCACTGAATATTCACTATGTAGAGTCAGGTAAAGTCCATCTGTGGTTTGTGTGGTCACACTCCAGGTCTTCACCAGGGCCCCCATACACCCGATAAAAATAAAAATAACTGTCCATTGTTACAGCATGCAGAGGAACATCTCCTCCAGCAGAGATAAGAAAAGCATTCATACCAAAGAAGGGATGGTGTCTGCATGGTCCTCCAGTCACTTCTGATAACTGTTCCATGTTGAGGCCCCTAACCCAGGGGAGAGGTCCGCACTTTCAGAAAAAGCACATTATCACCGGGCTGGATAATTTTAGCAAGGGTTCTAATTCACTAGAGTCATCTGTCTCTGTGTAAAGGGAACAAAATATAATATAGTTATTTCCATCCCCAGTAATTCCTATTAACACTATGATGAATCTTTTGCTTTCCCTTCATAATAATTTCAGTTCAACCTGCTGTTAGATTTTGTAGCCCAGGGCTCTCCAAACTACGGCCTAAAGGCCACATCCTGCCAGCTACAAGATTCTACCCGGTCCTTGATGTGATGGGGGCTTCTGATGTAAAGAAGGGGTCTGATTTGATGGGGGCTTCTAATGTGACAGGGAGAATCTGATATTAAAGGGGGGGGGGCTATGATGTGAAAGGGGATCCTCTTATGTGATGGGGGCATCTTGTTGGAATGGGCAGCACAGTGGCTAAATGGTTAGCACTTCTGCCTGGCAGTACTAGGGGCCATTGGTTCAAATCCCAACCACAGAACCACCTGCCTGGAGTTTGCATGTTCTCCCTGTGCCTGCGTGGGTTTCCTCCAGGTACTCGGGTTTCCTCCCACACTCCAAAGACATGCTGGTAGGTTAATTGGATCCAGGGGCAGACTGACCATTGGGGAACTCAGGCACTACCCGAGGGCCTGGGGTCAGTAGGGAGCCCCATGAGATGTCCCTGGTACCTTTCATAGGCTTTTTTGGGTGTGGTTTGAGTGTGGGCGACCCCATGTGGTCAGGGACCCCATGATCCCCTATTGCCCAGGGGCCCCATGAGTTGTCAGTCCGCCCCTGATTGGATCCTGTCTAAATTGGCCCTAGTATATGTATGTATGAATGTAAGTTAGGGACCTTAGATTGTACGCCCCTTGAGGGTTAGGGACTGATGACTAATGTGAATGTACAACATGTATATGTAAAGCACTGCATAAGTTGACAGTGCTATATAAGTACCTGAAATAAATAAATGGAAGAGCTGATATGAAGTGGTGACTCTGATGGAAGAGGGGGGGGGGGGCTCTGATGTGACAGGGGGCTTTTGATATGAAAGGGGGGGCTTTGATGTGATGGGGGGCTTCTGATGTGAAAAGTAGTACTGATTTTTTCCAGCCCATGAAAATTTGTAAAATTGACAAATGTGGCCTTTATACTAAAACTATTGGAAACCCTGCTGTAGATCACCACATCAACCAGCAGGGGAAGGGGGGCTCTGATGTAATGGGGGAGATTCTGATGTGAAAAGGGGACTCTTCTGAAAGGGGGGCTCTAATGGAAGGGAGGGGCTCTGATGTGACTAGGGAGCTTCTGATATGAAAGAGGGGGGCTCTGATGTGACTGGGGGCTTTTGATATGAAAGGGAGGGCTCTGATGTGACTGGGGGCTTTTGATATGAAAGGGGGGGGGGGGGGGGGGCTCTGATGTGACTGGGGGCTTTTGATATGAAAGGGGGGCTCTGATGTGATGGGGGGCTTCTGATGTGAAAAGGGGAATCTTCTGAAGGGGGAGCTCTAATGGAAGGGAGGGGCTCTGATGTGACTGGGGGTTTTTTATATGAAAGGGGGGGCTCTGATGTGATGGGGGCTTCTGATGCGAAAAGGGTGACTTCCAATGTAAAAGGGGGGGGGGTACTGATTTTCCAGCCCATGAAAATTTGTAAAATTGACAATGTGGCCTTCATACTAAAACTATTGGACACCCTGCTGTAGACCACCACATCAACCAGCAGGGGAAGGGGGCTCTGATGCAATGGGGGAGATTCTGATGTGAAAAGGGACTCTTCTGAAAGGGGGGCTCTAATGGAAGGGAGGGGCTCTGATGTGACTAGGGAGCTTCTGATATGAAAGAGGGGGGCTCTGATGTGATTGGGGGCTTTTGATATGAAAGGGGGGGCTCTGATGTGACTGGGGGCTTTTGATATGAAAGGGGGGGCTTTGATGTGACTGGGGGCTTTTGATATGAAAGGGGGGGCTCTGATGTGATGGGGGCTTTTGATGTGAAAAGGGTGACTTTCGATGTAAAAGGGGGTACTGATTTTTTCCAGCCCACGACAATTTGTAAAATTGACAATGTGGCCTTCATACTTAAACTACTGGAAACCCTGCTGTAGACCACCACATCAACCAGCAGGGAAAGGGGGGCTCTGATGTAATGGGGGAGATTCTGGTGTGAAAAGGGGACTCTTCTGAAAGGGGGGCTCTAATGGAAGGGAGGGGCTCTGATGTGACTAGGGAGTTTCTGATATGAAAGAGGGAGGGCTCTGATGTGACTGGGGGCTTTTGATATGAAAGGGGGGGGGGGGGCTCTGATGTGACTGGGAGCTTTTGATATGAAAGGGGGGCTCTGATGTGATGGGGGGCTTCTGATGTGAAAAGGGGAATCTTCTGAAGGGGGGGCTCTAATGGAAGGGAGGGGCTCTGATGTGACTGGGGGTTTTTGATATGAAAGGGGGAGCTCTGATGTGATGGGGGCTTCTGATGCAAAAAGGGTGACTTCCAATATAAAAGGGGGTACTGATTTTCCAGCCCATGAAAATTTGTAAAATTGACAATGTGGCCTTCATACTAAAACTATTGGACACCCTGCTGTAGATCACCACATCAACCAGCAGGGGAAGGGGGCTCTGATGCAATGGGGGAGATTCTGATGTGAAAAGGGACTCTTCTGAAAGGGGGGCTCTAATGGAAGGGAGGGGCTCTGATGTGACTGGGGATCTTCTGATGTTAAAAGGGGACTCTTCTGAAAAGGGGGGGCTTTTGATATGATGGGAGAGCTTCTGATGTAAAAGGGGGATTCAGGCATGAATGGGGACTCATGTGAAGGGGTGCTTCTGACTGAATGGAACATCTGATGTGAAATGGTGACTCTGATGGAAGGTGGGGGGGTTCTGATGTGACTGGGGGGCTTATGATGTCAAAGGG